TGGGAATTTTTTGAAAGAAAAAGAGATCAAAGTATTAGGGTTGGGGTTGCAATCAGGTTTTTAGAAGGTATAGGATTAGGGTCAGATCGAGGATCGAAGTTAGAATTTGATGAGCATAGGCAACAAAAAATTCATATAACCAGCCTGAAGTATAGATATTGATGGCATAGTGGACTTTTTCGAAAAACAAGAAAAGATATCACAGGTATTAGGGTTGGGGTTTAAATTTATTTGTAGTTTAGGGTCAGGGTTAGGGTTAGGTAGACCTGAAGTAATTGTTCCTGGGTTGAAGTTAGAAATAGAATATTGTCTGTGAAGCAATTGCTACAAAAGAAAGCTGGTTTAGAGCCTTTTCCCAACTAGTCTAGTGTGTTCATATCTTCCTTAGACAGCAGCATCACATCATCACCTGGACCCTTTTAGACCTGGACCACATGTAGACCAGGACCTGTGTCATATTTAGACTAGGACCTGGTGCATGTCAACAAGCAAATATCTTCTACCCAACTATAACAGTACCTAATAGTAGATTTGTTGAGGCTTACAGTATTTATAACCAGACAGTCGTTCCCGGAAAAGATGACAATATTGCATCATTGAAGAATAAATAGAGTCTGTAAATATGGCTAATTAAATCAAAACTAAAATATTATTATTTCACCGTGTTAAACAAATATGTACTTGTATGTCTTGTGTATTGTTTACGTTATGTATGCAGGGCCCCCAAATATAACAGTATTTCACCAATTGATAAAGCTACTCTGTTGAAAAAGTAACAAATAAATATATGTAAATATACATACTTTATTCTATTTGCTAAAATATAAATTATAGCAAGCAATACAAATAAGGAAGACAGACAATCCAAACATACAAATTGTAAGCCAAGAAAGAGGCAAAGATATTTTAAAATCTAAAATGTAAACACAATTATTCGAGGTAATATTCTGTTTAACATGTATAAGTTATACTAGGGCTTAAAGGGAAAGTCCTCCCTAATATTTAGTTGGTTTTAAAAGAAGCAGAGAAAGAGAGGACAGGCCAGTAGATGTTTGAGCAAAGTTATGAGTTGCGATCAATCAAACACAAATCGGCAGCTCTGTGACGTATCTTACAAGCTCCTCTCCAATTTGCTCCGTACAAAAAATTTAAGAAATTAGATTTTCTTCATTATTGATGACAGAGTAGACTTTTTCCATACAGGGTTGTATAAAACATATTTGAAACATTTATACTTAGGATGCATGTATGATTTAACATTTTCTTGAGGGAGGGAAAATTTCTGATTTTTTTTATTAAAGAGCAAATGGGAGGGGACCAATTTAATATCAGGGTGGACTTCCCCTTTAAATATTTATTTCTTAGCAAGAGAATTTGTTGTTCTATCTTGTGGAACAATAAAATACATGTATTTTCAATCTTAATGTACGGGTGTAAGAGTGGTTTCCTGCCCATCTCCTTATGCATTCGGTCAAACGGTTCCACATGCAAGAGTGCAAATCAGTTGCAGAGAAAGGAGAACATTCTGACAATGTAGTCATCTATGCGAAATATACCCCTGTGCTGTGCAGGACCTGATTTAAAACTAACATGAAAATGCCAATCTGCGGCAATAATGTGTGCTCTTATTGGAACAAAGTTGACTTTATGTTGATCATTTTGTCTCGTCAAGACATGAATTCCTCTCGCATGTGTTTTCTCCGTACGCGAAGTATGTTGTGGATTAAGATCACTTAAGCAATGGCTGTTCCATAGTCGATGCGCATGTCATAACATGAGAAGTAGAGTAAGAAATAGTCGCATGGCAAAGCACTTGCCATTTGATACCTTGTTAGCCCCACATATTGCATTAGGCGTTGTGTCTGGCCTGACGAATAAATCAGGGTTTCGGAGGTGGCACGAGATGAGGATGATCCTGCGATAAAGTAGGTCATACATGATTATTAAACATGAGCAAGTTAAGAGCAAGAAGGGCATAAATCGGGGAGGGAAGATATTGCTTGTGCATAATAGTGCGTCAACATGTTTAGACTCTAGAGCAAAAACGATGTAAGTTTGTTGAGGAATGATATGGAACTTTCATGGTCATCCACCAGCGGGTGTAGGCAAGAAGGGCATTGAAGATTCACTCTTCTTTCTATGACATAGTTCAAGCATGATCATACATATCATGACTTAACACAAGAAGAGTGTTAAATCTTGAACTGGAACATAGATAACCCTTGAAAAGAATGATATAGTTTTTAATAAAATTCCAAGCCTGAGACTTCAGGAGAGAATACAAGAAAATTGGATTTCAAGTATTTGGATAATGAAGCCTTATGTTCATGGTAACACTGTTTGCTCTTAAAGATGAATACATGATATTACTTGAAATCTGTAATTAGTCCAAACGTTTGTTTGACGATGATGAAGGTTGTTTTACATGACTGCTGAGAAACCATGTTTAGGCCTAAAATAAAAACTTGTTGTATTGCCCTTTGCGACCGTCCTAAAAATCTGAAAATCTACGGTCAGTATTTAAATTTTTTTTTTTTTTAACCGTTTTTTTGAGATTTTTAAATTTTTAATGAATACAAAAATATGTACTTTGTTTGTTAGGATAAATGGGATTTAAATGCATAAAATCAAATCATTACCAAATTCTCTCTCGTCTTCTGCCCTAGTTTCAAATTCCTACTAGCGTAAACATCTCGATCAACACAACATTGCAAACCATGGATTATTATGAGGTGAAAAAGATAGTAATGATGACGCTGAAACACATGTATTAAAGCATTACAAACTGAGAAGTATAAGCCAAAAGAGGGCAGGGGGAAAGATAAAAAACATTAAAAACTAAAAATTATCGGCCCAAAGAGGGCGACAAAAAAAGTTTAAAAAAAAAAAAACTTTTCCGACCGACCGACCCATGTTTTGGCACCCAAAGGGCAATAAAACAATTTTTTATTTTAGGTCTTATGTGAGTAAACAACCAGGGGAATGATGGCTTCAAGTCCTCTCCGAGGGACTTGGTAATAAGGATTAATGCCTTACTAAAGGGTAATGAAATCATGTCAGATTGATGGAGTTGATTGATTGCTGCTCAGAAAATATTGTTGAGGTGTGTCCTTGAAAAAAATAGAGTTTTGGCATGAAGTGTCTTCTTTGGCTATTATTTCCATGATAGAGGTTACTGTTTCTGTTTCACAAAGAAAAACATACACCTACTTAGTCCAAACGCATTGTTCAACACGCTTATAGTTTGGGCAGGATCAATCCCCATTTGCCACTCTCCAACCAGGTGTAAATGGGTTCCTGGCAATTGCTAGGGTAGTAATAATTGCAGGGCCTTCAGGAAAAGCAGTATTGATAATGATATGACTACCTTGGGTAAAAAGCCCCAGTTATTATTTAATTACTAATTTATCAACATTAGTTATTGTAATCATCATCAATGAGGTCTTTCAAGCCCTTTATACTGCGGTATTAAATACCGTTATTAATTAATTAGTTTTTTAAATAGGGTTCAGAAATGACACAGAAAGGTGTATATCATGCATGGGTTAAGAAAAATGAATCAACAATCTCTTGAATTATATACTTTCACCTTGCTAGCTGTCCATTAATGAAGCCTTAGATTAATTAATGATGCCGTTTATTACTTGAAAAAGATGTAAGACTGACTGACATTCCAAAACAACCAAGGAGTTGTTCCTACTGCTGTGTTAAGAGAACTTTTGATGAAAAGCAACATTCTAAAAATACTCTTTTATAATTGTTCTAAACATGATGGATGTTTTTGTGACATCAGAGACAGATTATTAAACAATTCAACTTCTTCCAAACTCTGTTAAAAATAGTAACCTTTGAAGGTTTTTTAAAAGCTTTTTCCAAATAATGTTGTTGTTAAGATGATATTTATGATTTTGGAGTTATTCCTACTGCACTGGTTTGAAGAAGATTCTTGATGAAAACCATTATTTTTTACAATACTCAGAGCTCTTTTATAATTTTTCTAAACATGATGTTTTGTGACATTAAAGACAGATTAATTAACAATTCAATTTCTTCCAAACGCTGTTAAAAATAGCAACCTTTGAATAATGCTTTTGTAGCTGTTCTTTGATAATCCCTCAGCTACATCTTTGCATGAAATTATTGGGCATAACACTGATAATAAAACTTAGAGACAGATTAATTAACAATTCAATTTCTTCCAAACGCTGTTAAAAATAGCAACCTTTGAATAATGCTTTTGTAGCTGTTCTTTGATAATCCCTCAACTACATCTTTGCATGAAATTATTGGGCATAACACTGATAATAAAACTTAGAGACAGATTAATTAGCAATTCAATTTCTTCCAAACGCTGTTAAAAATAGCAACCTTTGAATAATGCTTTTGTAGCTGTTCTTTGATAGTCGCTCAGCTACATCTTTGCATGAAATTATTGGGCATAACACTGATAATAAAACTTAGAGACAGATTAATTAACAATTCAATTTCTTCCAAACGCTGTTAAAAATAGCAACCTTTGAATAATGCTTTTGTAGCTGTTCTTTGATAATCCCTCAGCTACATCTTTGCATGAAATTATTGGGCATAACACTGATAATAAAACTTAGAGACAGATTAATTAACAATTCAATTTCTTCCAAACGCTGTTAAAAATAGCAACCTTTGAATAATGCTTTTGTAGCTGTTCTTTGATAATCCCTCAGCTACATCTTTGCATGAAATTATTGGGCATAACACTGATAATAAAACTTAGAGACAGATTAATTAACAATTCAATTTCTTTTACACTCTGTCAAATTAGTAACCTTTTAATAATTCTTTGTAGCTGTTCTTTGCTAGTGCCTCAACTACATCTTTGTATGACATTATTGGGCATAACACTGATAATAAAATCAATGAAGTAACAACACTCCTTTGAGGTCACAGAAAGACTAGGATACTTTTAATAACCACGTTATTCTCTCTCTTCCTTTTTTATTTCTCCACCATATTATCTTCAGGAACCATCACAGCTGGACAGATTCTCCCCCTCCCATTCATCTCTCGTCTTCTCGAACACCGACTATAAAAGGGATGTGACATCAGTGAAGGACAACGCTCCTCACACGTAGGTTCTTCTTGTCCGTCACAAATGCAAACAAGGTTTTGGAATGAAGGCGGCCAAAGCTCAAAGCGTCGTCGATCGTCCTCCGCCCGTTTGGCCGACACTTTGCAGAGAGTGTGCCCGACACCTGCCTTTGTTGGTGTCCGTCGTCACGTCGGTCTCTTCCAAAGCTCCGCCCTCGCGTGTCCTTTCACTCCTAAGGTATGAATAATATGCTTTTAATTGGCCATTTGTGGGGAAAGGCTGCCCTTCTGGAGTTGGGTCTTTAGCGAGGTGTTTCGTTTCACACGCTTCTTCAATTTAATTGAGGTTCTGGTACTAGTATTTTATCTTTACCATGAGCGTCGTTCAGTGAGCTATATTTGAATGAGAGGAAAAGAGGGTACTCTTCTTGGTGTATTGATGAGAGGGTTTGACCCTCAAGTATTATAGTTAGATGAATGTTTGGATATCCGAGGATACACTGTACATCCTAACCCCACTCCCTCCTCCCTCTTCTCCCTCTTCTCCCTCTTCTCCCTCTCCTCCCTCTCCTCCCTCTTCTCCCTCTTCTCCCTCTTCTCCCTCTCCTCCCTCTCCTCCCTCTTCTCCCTCTTCTCCCTCTCCTCCCTCTTCTCCCTCTTCTCCCTCTTCTCTCTCTCCTCCCTCTCCTCCCTCTCCTCCCTCTTCTCCCTCTTCTCCCTCTTCTCCCTCTCCTCCCTCTTCTCCCTCTTCTCCCTCTTCTCCCTCTTCTCTCTCTCCTCCCTCTTCTCCCTCTTCTCCCTCTCCTCCCTCTCCTCCCTCTTCTCCCTCTCCTCCCTCTTCTCCCTCTTCTCCCTCTTCTCCCTCTTCTCCCTCTTCTCCCTCTTCTCCCTCTTCTCCCTCTCCTCCCTCTTCTCCCTCTCCTCCCTCTTCTCCCTCTTCTCCCTCTTCTCCCTCTTCTCCCTCTTCTCCCTCTTCTCCCTCTTCTCCCTCTCCTCCCTCTCCTCCCTCTCCTTTCTCTCCTCCCCTTTATTTCAATTTAAATGAGAGGGAAAGGAAGGTTCTCCTCAAGATGTAAGCAGATTTTGACCGTCAAGTTTTTCAAATATTTATTGATTGAATACAAATGTCTTGGTATTCAAAGTTACGCGATAAAACATTCATTTCCTTCTCTGTATTCCCATTCTATTTATAAGAAAAAGGAGTCAGTCATTGACTTTTCTCCTTTCTTTCATTTCTTAGCCTTTCCCTATTTTAGCCCTCATGTGTAGCTTCTCTCTCTTTTTAGCCTTCCACTATCTTCTCTGTTCCTTTATTTAGTCTTCTCTCCTTCCTTTCACTTTTCTCTTTTGTAATTTTCATTGCTATTTGTTTTCTCCTCTCTCCATAGCATGTTCCTTTGCATTTTCTTGATTTACACATCTTTCTTTTCTTTTCTCCTCAGTTCTTTCTTTTCAACTCTCCTATCTATTAAACCTGTCTTCTTTCTTTCTGTCCCCTTACCACCATTGCTTCATTTTTTACCATTCTCCCTTTCTTCTCTCTTTCTCCTCTCTTTCTCCTCTCTTTCTCCTCCTCATCCTCTCCCCTCCTCTCCCTCTTCATTCCTTCCCTCATTCTTCCTAAACCCATCATCCCCCTATTAGGGTCTCGTGAACTGACTAACCCATTCTTGCGGCATGGAACTTTAGTCAACGTAATGACAATTAGTAGATTAACTGATTGAATTGAGCTTTCATTGGGAGTCAGGTCTGTTACCATCATCATAACCAATGCATTCTCTGCCATGCAGATAATGTGGCACCATCATCATTAGGACCAGTTCACACCCAATATTAATGTTTGTAGTCATTGTGGTAACATCATGATTAGACCCAGTTTACACTTTGTAAGTTAACTGGTGAATTGAGCTTTCATTGGGAGTCAGGTCTGTTTCCATCATCATAACCAATGCGTTCTCTGCCATGCAGATAATATGGCACCATCATCATTAGGACCAGTTCACACCCAAAATTAATGTCTCTGTACTTGTGACAACTTAATCATTAGGCCCAGTTTACAATTGATGATTAACTAATTGAATTGAGCTTTACGATCATCATATTTCCTGCCATGCAGTTAATATGACTACATCATCAATAAGCCCAGTTCACACCGAATGCTTCTGCAACATTAAAGCATTGGCTATGTTCTGTGGTTAATGTAGTGATGTCATCACCATTAGGACCAATTTACACTGAACATTAAAGTGCAATCCAACCCTCTAATAAGTTTGTTTGTATGAAAAAAGAAATAAATGATGAACAGAATGGGGAAAGTTTGAAATAAATTGGACCAATACTAAGAGGATGAAGAGAGAATTAATAATAATAATACATTATATTTCTATAGCGCTTATTACAATGTTTCTAAGCGCCTTACAAAGTTGGCAATACTTAGAAATAATACATTCAATATCATATTCACAAACTATAATTATTATATACTAATCAACCTACAATTAATTAAAAATACATAAGCACAGATGCATCTAGTCAATACATATAAAATACAATAGAATACAATTAATTAATTAAAGCTACAGACTAACAGGGAGGATTAACAGGGAGAATTAAAAAGGAATGTCTTTAGGGAGGATTTAAAAGAATCTAACGATTCAGAATTATGAATGTTTGATATATGGGCTCACTAAATAATTGTGAATCTCAAATTGGCAATTCGATCCATGGAATTTAACTCTCCCATTTGTCACGCACAAAATATCATTAATTTCTGCTTTTCTCCTAAGTGCCTTCCCCTTGGGGCACTGTTCAACATATATTACAGACAGCATACCAGTATTATTATAGGTCCTCTAAAGACAAAAGATCGTCCCGAGTCATGCATTTTTGAAAACTTGAAATTTGGGTCATTTTGTGTTTTGGAATAAATGGGAAAGTTGACTGCAACCCCATCACAGAGACATTATCGATCATACCTAAAGTGATTTCTACTTTCAAAACTGCATAACTTTCTCATTTTTTTGTCCAATTTCATTGAAATTTTCACTTAGCTGTCTAATTCTGAGTTTTGTGCTTCTAGAGTACATGTAGCTTGTTATAAAAGTTGAATTTCCCTTTATTGCTTTGTTTCCTCTTACATAAGAGAGACATCATTGTTACACAAAGTTTATGCCCAGTTCACACCTAGAGATTTAACCAATTGAATTGAGCTTTAATTGGGATTCAGTTCTGCTGACCATCATTGTGTACCATCGTTGTGCCAGTTTCAGACTGGACAATGATACAACATCAATGTAACATTAAGGCAAGGTTTCTATATGTGGTATGGTAATGTGTCAGATTCATCATCATTAGGACCAGCTTACAACAAACATTTTTGAATGCAACATTAAAGCATAGCTGTCTAATTCCTGCAGCCAATGTGTCAACATCATCATTAAGCCTACATTACACTGAACATTAAGGCACTGCTTTAATGGTATCTGCCATGAGCTCAAATTGGCGACATCATCATTTGTTCCAGCTCACCCTGTATGCATTCCTTTATCTGTGTTATCAGGGAGATACATGCCACAGCTTGCATTAATAACATTTTAATTTTTCTCTTTGAATATGAAAATTACCTTTCCACTCCTCAATGATGAGCATTTTTGTGAATTTTTTTGTCATTGCCACTTTTTCTTTAATTCCAAGATAATTTAACCACAAGCGAATCCCTATGGGCGAATGTGTTTCTGGACAGTCGTCATATATCAACTTTCAAAAGTGAAATTTTGACTTTAAATATATCTCTTTCATTGATTCTTTGGATATGAAGCATCTCTCTTAGACATTGAAATCAAGATAAGGGTAACTGTTTCTTTTTCTAGAAGAAAATAAAGAAAATATTCTTATACCTCAGTCACACCAGCGACACCGAACCCCGGCCTGACAACAGACCAAACAGAATATTACATTACCCCCACAATAGCCCCAATATCTGTTGGTGTCGAGTCAGTTTGGCAATGTGACCGAAGCATTAGTCTGAACACCTGTTCAAAAACGTTACAGTAGTAGTGGAATCTGCCATCCAAGGCATGGAAAAAGATTAAAATAGACCCTTCAAATGGATTTTTAAAATTTTAAACAGTATTTTATCAGATGCTGCTTGTAAGTGTCGGCTTGCATAATGATGTAGATATACAGTAGGCTTGCGGGTGCACCATGTGAGAGAGTGAGAGAGAGAGAGAGAGCTACTCATCCTCTCCAAGCGCTATAGTTCTCCTTAGAACTATATGCTAAGAAAGATAACAAACAGTCCTTTTCAGGACTACACATCCCCAAGAAAGATTACAGAGTCAGAGTCCTTTCCAGGACTCCTCAACCCCCTCTCTCTCTCTCTCTCTCTCTCACATGGTGCACCCGCAAGCCTACTGTGTAATATTATATCAATTGGATTGTTTGCGCTTTCCATTGTAGAGAAGGGAAGTTTGTTCTACTGCAATGACAGCTGATAATCAATGCAAATTTAAAAGCTTTCACTAATGATATGACAAATGGGGCCATGGGATGGACGTGAAGCTGTGAAAATCAATTAAGATGTCAATAGGATAATGCTATCCCACTAACATAGCTTTGTATTGATGTAGGGTGGTGACAATGTACTTTTCAGCTCAATAGTGTACCCACCTTAAAGGTTGAATCGTTTATTTGGAATTTGAAATGGTGTTTCAACAATTTCTCTGGTAACACTTGCCAGGGGCTTTAGTTTGTCAAAGTTATAGGGTAAGAGTTATAAGGTTAAGGTTATATAGACTGAGGGTTAGGGTTTGGTATAGCAGTGCTCAAAACTAGCACTCCAATTCTTATTCTGGACCCCCTAAAACCTTGAGATTTTACATAGGGCTCATTCATACAGACTTTAAAGTAAAGACCAGTATTGGAAATACCCCAATTTTAAAAAATGAAATGGAAGCTCTTATTACCAATCATGTGAAAGAATTATGTTTTGACTAAATACATGATGATAAAAAAATTGCTGGGAAACCGCCTACTAATTGATATATTTGGTAAATTAGTTTATCTATTGGTGTGTGAGAGATAAACGCACATGTCGCGCATGTGTCCGTAGTCCCATATACATCTGTCTGTGTACAGTGCTTGTAACTTTACGAAGACTGGGCCAAATTTCTTATCATTTTGATAATTCCAGAACCTTGCAGTACATCTATGCTAGAGGAACAACCTTTTCTGATCGATTTCATAACGTTTCTTTCACAATGCAATCGCATGGCCATAACTGGTCTTTATCTTTAATGTGTGGAATTGGCACAAATTAAAGTAACTCTACTCGATTGTTTGAGCTGTATTCATGCACAATTGTTTGAACTTGCGCAATCACTGTAAGCATGTATTGATTTTTAGACAACCCAACACTTTGTGTCAGCAATCGTTCAATTCTATTTTAGCCCCGATCCTGATTACACAATGAACACAATAACGCAGCATGGAGATTTATTGACGACTATTGAACTTTCTCTGTTTCGGGAAAGGTATAAACCCAAATGCACAAGGGGGTGATTATACTTGCTAAATGAAGGCTATTGATCTAACATTGTGCTTTGGACATTTTGAGAGCAGTAATTACAGGATTTACTATTGATGGCTTTTGTGTCAGTGTCTCCTGTATTGTTGTGTTTCACCTTGTTTTGTTTTTGTGTTAGAGTACGTATGGGTTTGATTGTACTTTTGTACAGGGGTCATAACTTGTAAAGTGCACTTGGGTGCTGGAATATATGGAGCCGAAGGGTGTTAACTCTGTGTAAGGGTGTTAATTCTGTGTAAGAGTTTATTTTGAGTTAACGCCCTTCTGCTTCCAAACAGATGAGATTGCTCTACCTAGGGAAATAATTGCTTTGTGCTTTATTTTGTCAAAAATAGAGGGTTACGGTTAGGGTTAGGGTTGCAATTGAGTCTAGGTTAGATTAAGTGTTAGGGTTAGGTATAGTGTGTGTAACGGGTTGAAGGTAAGCATTCAGTCAGTATAGGGGATTGGCGCAGAGTAAATATCGCAGTCTAAGCAAGTGTTGTGTATTTAAACCAAAGTATGGAATTAGAAATAGAAAAGTTGGGTATTGACTGCGAAAAAGTTGTCACTTGAGCTTGTATCTTGTAACCTGTATTTAGGTTAAATGCCACTTTTAATTGTGCTGAGTTTAAATATAGAGCACAGTTGAAGATTGTTCTTCATTTTGCTGTCCTGTTGTCTTTTCTTTCTTTTCTTTTGGATACTGACTGCGGAAAAGTTATCACTTGAGCTTGTATCTTGTAACCTGTATTTAGGTTAAATGCCATTTTTTAATTGTGCTGAGTTTGGATATAGAGCACAGTTGATGATTGTTCTTCATTTTGCTGTCCTGTTGTCTTTACTTTCTTTTTTGCATTATTAGTTAGGCAATTTTATGGCTGCAATTCAAGGAATATTACAATATGTTGGACACAAAGGGGAAAAAAGGGAAATCACATATTTTAAGTTGACTTTTTGGTCAAAAAATCATCTAGAAGTAGGGATGGACATGTTTTTTAATACTTAAAGATGAAGCTGAGTTCTGGTCATGCGATTGCATTGTGAAAGAAACGGTGTGGAATCGACCAGAAAAGGTTGATCATCTGGCATATAAGAATTTGTGTGTATTGCAAGGTTCTGGAATCATCAAAATGGTAAGAAATTTGGCCAAGTCTTGGTAAAGTTACAAACACTGAACACAGAAAGATGTATATGGGACTACACGAACACGTGGCGTAAAAATCCTACCTCCGAGTTTTACGAAGTTACACGACATTTAGAATATGAAGGTATTTGAAGAGCCATGCTTTTCAGGGAACATGTCTTATCTGATGTTCTACCTTACTTGCATAATAAGAATGATAACGCTCACAAATTATTTTTCACCTCTTCCCAGAACTCGACCTTCTCTTTAATGCGTACTCAAGGTATGTGAGATTAGATTTTCTGGGAAGGCACATGCACACCTCATGCCCCCTCCTCATGCCCCCTCCTCCTCCTCTTCCTCTCACACATTTTATTAGCCTTTGTTTTTAAAAGGGTGATATTTTGTTTTGATATGATCCTGTTCATCTCAACTATACTTGCTCTACCTGAATGCCAACACTGATTATGTGTTGAGTTAAACCTCGAATGGATAGAGGAGAATTCCAATGGGCTGATGATTAAAATTATAGCATGACTCTCTAATTAAGTAAATTACCATTCATTCATTCATGAATGTGGTCGTTTTAATGCATCATAATGATCACAGAGAGGAATTCAACCAGTAATCGGTAACGGGTGGAGCATTTACCCTAGAATGATACAGAGGGTTTCCTCTTTTGTCTTTGATAATTTGTATTCATGTCAATGAAATCTCACCCCCCCCCCCAAAAAAAAAAGAAGTTTATCATATGATCAAGTGCAGACTTACTGGATAATCTCTGATAAGCAAAAGCAAAATGTCAGATTGTATTTTATGGCAACTGTGCTGAATAGTTTGGTTCCTTTTTCATGGGATGCCGTGTACCACAAAGCAATCAGATGCAAATTTGAACATTTTGATTGTAGATCATTGTACACTGTACTATGACAACTATGCTGAATAGTATTTTTTATGGGATGCCATTTAGCACACAGCTGATTTGATGCAGTTTGAAGCATAGAGCATAACAATGCTGACTGGTTTGATTTTTTTTATGGAACACCGTGTAGCTGACAGCAAATAGATGCAATTGATGCATTGATTTTACACTATACCATGACAACAATGCTAATTTTTTTTATGGGATGCCATGTAGCACACACCTGATCAAGTGTGTAATGTACACCGTGTTGATTTTTAGGGCATTGCTGAATACTTTTTATGGGATGCCCTGTAGCACACACCTGATCAAGTGTGTAATGTACACCGTGTTGATCATTAGGGCATCGCTGAATACTTTTTTATGGGACGCCCTGTAGCACACACCTGATCAAGTGTAACGTACACTGTGTTGATCATTAGGGCATCGCTGAATACTTTTTTATGGGACGCCCTGTAGCACACACCTGATCAAGTGTGTAATGTACACCGTGTTGATCATTAGGGCATTGCTGAATACTTTTTTATTGGATTCCCTGTAAGACACAGCTGATCGGAAGTGATTGTAGCATTGATTGTATATTGTTAGGCACGCTTCCCGATGAATAGGACCCTAATGAGTCTCATTACGGGCCATCGGCATAGTCTTAATCAGGGAAGCGTGTCCACGATTGTCCAACTTTGTGTTTTATCCCTAAATAAGAACAAAAATGGCTTCCATTTTGCATCTTTGGAAGAAAGCTGGAATTTGGCTTCGGGCGATGGGGTAAGCTTTGAAATAAGGCTTTGCTTTCTCTGTGTCAAAAATGTTCTTAAGTAGTGCTGAAAAGAGTTTCGTTATACAGTTTGAACTACCGGTAGTATAATGAAAAAAATATTGTTTAAAGCATCTTGGTGCAAAATTTAGGACCTTGGTCAACAATTACAATATCAACTGCTAATGATTTTCTGAGTTCAAAATATATATTCTTTTAAAGCAGTCTTACATGTATGTGTGTGGTATGCATCGTGATGTTGATATTTTTCAACCATCAGTTTCTTTGTCTATTATTAATTTTTTCGAATTTAAGAAATCAAAATTTAAAGTAGGCATACTTATCCAATTATCTTCATCAGTGTCATAAAAAGTTCAAAACCTTTATAAAAATTCAGTTTCTGATTCACAATTTAGACAATATTCCATGGTTTGAGGCAAAAATGTAAATTCAGGAACACCATACTTGGTTGGTGATCATTTTGATAAAGGGAGAGTTTAGTAATCTAGTGATTATATTAGCGTCATAACAAGCAATGATCTAAGCACTTGAAGTGCCCCGTGCATGATTTGCAATGACACAAACTCAAATGAGAAGGAAATGAAGATTGATTTTTGTTCCGATCTTTGCAGACCGTCTGTAAATGCCATCGCTGACGAACCTCCGGAATTCCAGCCTCAACTTCAAGAGAGAGTCCAGGTGCTGAAAGTCATGCCGACACATCTCCAAGCTGCTCGTAAATATGCTTAGTGAAAGTGGATTTCAAAATCAATTGTTGATATTGTAATGGGAGCATGCATTCACACATACATTTAGAGCAAGTAGTGAAATTTAATTATCTTTTTCTTTTAATCGAGATCAAAATTTCACATTTTTTACGTCACATCAAATAGTGAGATTTTGAAGAAAGAAAAAACATTGGTTGAGTGCTGTGCATGTGAATAATAGCAAGACCTAAATATTCATTTAATTTTTTAAGGAATATTTTCTATTCCACCATGTTTGAATCGCCCGCACGCTAAATCAATGAGAGGTCAAACAGCTTGGGTCACAATTGGGCATCACAGTGCCGGTGATAGTATTAGTGAGAATTTTTCTGACACGTAAATTGGTGCAATAACGTGAGATTTGGATTGCGTCTAACATTTTAATTTCGGGGAATGTGTGAACACCCCTATTGATACTTCAAAGATGTTGCACTTTTTGAAAATCAAATTTTAATTGTGTTTTTTTGCAGCGGCCTGTCCAAAGTTGTCTTTGGGTCCTTGCAAATTTGAGCTTCTCAAGTAAGCTGTAAGACGACTTATTTTGTTTATATTTTTTCTTAGTTAATTTGATAATGTCCCAAGTCCCATTTTCCTATGCATACTGAATATCTTGTTAATAAAGTCACAATCTTCTTCTTACAAGTCAGTAAAAGAGAAACAGATAAGATCTAAAAGACTTGAACAAAAAATCAACCTTGGGTAATGCAGTAGGCCTGTACATTACCCATTAACATTCAATGACGCATTACATAATCTGAACGTGATTTCTGTTAGATATGAGTATTAAAATTATACAAGTACTGAGAAATCCCTGTCCTTTTAAAAAAAAATGGTGTTACATGTGTAGAGCAGTCAAAACTGTAATAGAAGCAAGTTCTCAAAATGTTGGTTTGTTGAATAAATGCTAATGACCTTCTGCCAGTCCCACTACAACATCTTCAAAAGGAAAAGAAAAGAGAGAAAACTTGTTGCAAACAAAATGTTCTTTAATAAGGGTAATTATTTTGAGGCCCACGGTATTGTCTGATATATGGCTTCAGAAGGAATTATGATGAATCATCTCAAGGCTTTGTTTAACCAAAAATGAACCTTGGGTAATGCAGTAGGCCTGTACATTACCCATTAACATTCAATGACGCATTACATAATCTGAACGTGATTTCTGTTAGATATGAGTATTAAAATTATACAAGTACATGTTTCATAATAAGATCGATTGTAAATGGTATTAAAATTCAACATGTTTAGAAGCTGAATTGTGATCATTACAGCAAATTGCTCATTTAAAATTTTCAAAAGATTTGAAAGTTAATGTTGACACGTTGCAAAAAAGTGACTTAAGTATTTGATGTTAAATAACAGTTTATGTGATGGAAAATGACATTTAGAATTAAAATTTATAATGATGTAATATATATATATACGTATACAGTATTTCAAAGAACTGTTGTTATTAAAGAGCAATTTGTATGACGGAAAATGACATTTAAAGTTTGAATAATGTTATTACAGTACTGCTTTGCAATTTAAAGAGTACAGAAGTATCGATTTAAAAATTGTAGTACAAGTTTAAGAAGCATTGGTTTTCATTTTTAAAATAAACCATTGGTAAGTTAAAGTGTATGAGATGCTCTTGTTTGATTTTTTTGTTCAATTCTTATTTTGTATTTTTAAGGTTTAAGTATCAATTACTGAAAGGTTGCAAGACCTTACAATTTCAATCTCACTGTGGTGAAAGATTATTTACTTCTTTGATTTATGTTGACTTTAACTATCAATCCTATGAATAATCAAAATGTCTGCATGAAGGATCAGGGTTCTAATGAGTGTATCAAGTTTTTTTTTTTTAATGGAAACCTCATCCCAAAGAATAAGTGTAGGTATGAAAAATGAGATTTATTCCTGTTCTTTGATGTTCAATATTCCTTACCAAAGTGTACAAGAGATATAAAAATGAAGATATTCTTGGCATGCTAATATGCCTTTTAGCATGACATGGGCGCAGATATTTTCTTGAAAATGTGACGTACTAGGCAAACTTGTACATGTATCACACACCAAGCTCTAGTTGCAAATACTTTTTAGGCCAATAACAACATCTTTACTCTTCAATGAGGGAATAATCATAGCTGGGATGGTAAAAATTATATTTGGTGAAAAATTTATAAACAGGAGAACAATAGGAACTCATTTATTTAAAAGTACTAAAAAATTAGCAGCCGACGAATTTGTATAATAATTATGCAATTTGTGTTGTGCCAATTATAGTACATAATATACATGTACAATATATGCCCATATCATGCTGATAAACTGTACATGATTCTATTAACAGAGACAAAAACAGAAAGTGAGTACCTTATATCAATTGTTCAAATGCATTTAAACTAAAAGACTGAACTAAAAAAGATGAGTGGAATATTGAGGGGCCTATAGTATGCTATAATATTGCCAAAACTACTCAATTTAGGTAGTTACAATCCATTTTCTCTTGTGTATTAGTTAATAAACTGAGAAATCCCTGTCCTTTTTTTTTTAAATGGTGTTACATATGTAGAGCAGTCAAAACTGTAATAGAAGCAAGTTCTCAAAATGTTGGTTTGTTGGATAAATGCTAATGACCTTCTGCCAGTCCCACTACAACATCTTCAAAAGGAAAAGAAAAGAGAGGAAACTTGTTGCTAACAAAATGTTCTTTAATAAGGGTAATTATTTTGAAGCCCACGTTATTGTCTGGTGTATGGCTTCAGAAGGAATTATGATGAATCATCTCAAGGCTTTGTTGAAGTACGTGTGTGAGATACATTTGTTTGTTTCTTAACTGTAACTGTGCCAGGAGGATTTTGCTTGTTTTGAGATATTTTAAATATTTTACGGTCTTTCTGTCTGTTTCTCTCTCGCTCTCTTTCTCTCTCTCTCTCTCTCTCTCTCTCTTTCTCTTTCTCTCTCTCTCTCTCTTTCTCTCTCTTTCTCTCTCTTTCTCTCTCTCTCTCTCTCTCTCTTCTCTCTCTCTCTCTCTCTCTCTCTATATATATACAGATATATAATATCTCTCTTTATCTCTATCTCTATTTCTTCTAATGATAACTAACGGTACCAATTTTACTTAATTTTGAAACCATTTGGATAGAAAACAGTTTAACGTTTATTGCTGTACAATTTTTTTTCTCATTTGTCTACTATGGCATGCTCAAAATCAATTCCAGTTCAGGAAAAAAAAGGATAGAGTCTGTGGACCAGCATAGATAAATAAAATTGCTGGCAGTTTGAAAGTTTCCATTTGAAAGACCGACAAATGTGCGCAACTGTGACGCAATGCACTCCTCCTAGATGGGGAGAGGTGCTTACAAAGTCACAAAAGCACAAGAAAAACCCGCCCCCATGTGGGCATGATCTCGGGAGGAAAGTGCCCGCTACTCCCACGACGACGACAATAATCAATGGCGGCCATTTTACCAATGGGGGGTGACGCATCAGACAAGTTTCAGATGTCGAAGTAAGTTACCGAATGTCGATGGCAATGTCACGGCGCAAGAGAGAGACGGGCTCCTGCGCAGGCTTTGAAAAGAGTTGCGTAAAGTGCATGTGGACTTCTACAGATCAAACAAGCTGTATTGAGTTTGCGTATAAGAAAGCTGCGACAATGGCCGTCAAATATAAGCAAGCTTCTTATACATGTAGAAAGGAAATTGGTACATGGCTTTGAAGTTATACTGTTGCTTTACAACTCTTTCAACCGCTCGCACAAAGGTGCAAAGCACTGGGTTTATTGCTTTGCGGAGTGATATATAAAGCAACTAGAGGTCACCGCTGAATAGTTTATTTCTCTGTCTTTCTGCATCTTTCTCGTACCAATAAGAGGAATTCTTGTAATTCCCGTCCGAAGGTTGCCGCGTAAATTAAAGTGCATTGTGAGTCTTGAAGATGGAATCAATACCTGCTCCAGTCCAACGCCAATTGGGAATATCACCCGCCTTTTCATGCGGCAAAAGTCGAGAGTTGTTTGTATCGTTTCCCTTTTGTATATATCAACTTGTATTTGCACATATCTCTGAATTCCTTGTAGAATATTGCTCATTTTAACCACAAAGCCACAAATTGAGCCCTCAAAAGAGATTATCGATTAGCTGAGTGGGTGCCGAGTGTTGACTTTTATTTACCTTTGTTGTCGAGAGGCAGGTTTTATAAGGTTGGTAATTTTGCGACAATTTCTTATTTGCTCACGTAATCAGATATTCCTTTTTTACCATTAAAGTTTAATGTTGTACATTATTTACAAATGAAAATGTGCTAGAAAAGAGTGAGAAAGGTACTTTGTAAATGAACGACTTGGGAATTTAAAAGTTTTATAGGGATGTAATGAACACACAAAAAATGCTGTTTTCAAAGTCATGTGGAATATCATTGGCTGTTTGCAAGATGACTGTTACTGCCATTGCAAATCCATTGCTCGTCTGGCCATTTGTTTCTGTGTATGTCTTATATTTTGTATATAACATGTTAACTTTAATTTTGTAACCTGGAATTTAATTATATGCACTATTTAAGTTTGAGCAAATAAAGAACATGAAGGAAGTAAGAAAAAAAATCAAATACCACTTTGATGTAAAAACTAGCTTGAGCTAAAGGAGTCTGCTATTAAACACAGCTATAACACCAGTCAGCAGTGCTAAATGAGATATAACATGACACATCTCCTTGAATCGGAGCTCGATGGCCGTTTCTTTTCTTTATTGTATCTTAATTTGCCGTTTCATCACACAATGCATTCTCTCCCCCTTCTTTCATCGTTGATCCTGTTAAGGGGATAGAAAACTGATCGCCTCGCGCCCTTTCTCTTTGGCTGAGAATGGGTGGGATAGTGCCGAAAGGGGAATTACCAGTTTGGTGTAATCTCGTTTGCCTCTGTGCTGGGGATGCAATCCAATAAGATGGCACAACTGAAAATATATGAATATTGAAAGGGATGAGGTGGGGAGAGAGAGAGAATGATGATAGACAGAGGAAGAGAAGGAAAAAAAGAGGAAGAAGATAGGATGATGTGTATAGGAAAGGAAAGAAATTAACAGGAGGAGAAAGAGAAAGAGAGAAAAGGAAAAAGGAAAAAGGAGAAGAAATTGGATGACTCTGTTGTAAGGGATAAGAAAAGGGTGAGACGGACACATAGAGAAGGAAGGAGGGGAGAAGAAGAAATTAAGTTGGTGGATAGGAAGGGAAAGAGTGGCATAAAGAGGATGAGGAAGAAGAAAGGAAAAAGAGAAAAAATATGAAGAAAACACAAAATTGGGCGTACCCTTCAGAATATATGAATATTGAAAGTGATATGAGAGAATTGAGAGAGAAGGGGAGAAAGTGTTAGCTCATGTATGTCCAAAAAGATAAATATAGAAGGCTGTGAATGAGAGAATCAGACCAAGAAAAACTTTTCCTTCTGAACTTCTTCTTCTTCTTCTTCTTCTTCTTCTTCTTCTTCTTCTTCTTCTTCTTCTTCTTCTTCTTCTTCTTCTTCTTCTTCTTCTTCTTCTTCTTCTTCTTCTTCTTCTTCTTCTTCTTCTTCTTCTTCTTCTTCTTCTTCTTCTTCTTCTTCTTCTTCTTCTTCTTCTTTCTTCTTCTTCTTCTTCTTCTTCTTCTTCTTCTTCTTCTTCTTCTTCTTCTCTTCTTCTTCTTCTTCTTCTTCTTCTTCTTCTTCTTCTTCTTCTTCTTCTCTTCTTCTTCTTCTTCTTCTTCTTCTTCTTCTTCTTCTTCTTTCTTCTTCTTCTTCTTCTTCTTCTTCTTCTTCTTCTTCTTCTTCTTCTTCTTCTTAAGCAGTAAAGTTTTATCAATTGAAGTGTTTTTCAAGTGAAGTTTTAAAAGTAACATTACATTTTAACCCTAAGAAAGTGAAAAATGAAACCAGAATGTTGTACTTCTGACACTTCAGATATATATCTACAAATAACTTTATTTTCTTCAAAAGTACAAGTAGCATTGAGTTCCTGATCTTGAGATTAAGATAAAAAAAAACTATCGGATTTCTATGAAATATTATGAAAGATCTCAAAAATTACAAAAATGTTAAGTTCAATATGATAGTATAAAAGCTCTCATGTGTTCTGTGACACGAACATGTACTGTACAGTGCCTTCTTTTTGATGGGCCATCACAAGGAAAATAATAATTCTTATGTATAAACCTTAATTATTGAATGTGTGCAATTAATTTTTCTTTATGTTCTCATTTTTGTTTTAACTTTCAGAAAGTACCAAATATTAGTTTTAAAACAACAACAAGTGTTAAGGATAGTGAAATTTAATGCCAATATTAGTCACGAACTAGAACCATCGATATTCATTGAGAGTATTTTTGAGGTGTTTGTCCTCCCCCTGCTACCATAATAAAACTATATTTGACTTAAACTGCAGTTTGCAGATCACACTTAAATATAGAAAAAGTTATGATGTTACCATGGACAAAATTAGAAGTACATTGAACATGTGACAATAATTGGCTGCTATAGATTTAAAGAACTGAACCAAATCGTTGAGTGTGCGTTGAAAGGGGAATGTTTGGCTACTGGAAAGCAATCATCCAAATGTTTTTCTTGCCCCCCCCCCCCCTCCCCACCCGGTCTGCTTCAAGAATTTCATTTTGGACTAGCGTGCCCCCGTAACCTCTCCGTATCATTTCCCGCTGAGCCAGAATAATCGCTTTTATTTCTCGCGACGACAAAAACACTCACTAACATAATTTCTTGAGGGAGATGGCCATTCGGGGGTATAATGCCATTCAGCAGGGTATTACGTAGTTCAACTTGCCAGTTTGACTCGGGCATTATGCCACCGGTGATAAAACCATTCTCCGGAGGGGATTATTTCCTTAGCAGATTGGTCTAACAGGATTCGTGCTAATTCCACCCGTTTCTTATTTTGGGGTGATCGTCAGTAAGAAAGGGGAAGAGTGAAGATTACCCGATTGTGACGTTAGAAGAAACGTCTGAATGCTTTAAACTCTTAAAGCGACACTGAACTGATGACATTTCTGTCCCAGCGTACTGTTTATTGCACAGCGCCATCTCATGGTCAACTTGCCAACAGTGCGTAACTCGATACCAAATTTCCAATTTGCAGAAAGAGGACCAGGGGCCAGTTTCATAAAACTTGTTATCTATAACAAATGCTAGATTTCTATGACAAATTTGCTCTTAGCCAATCAGATGCCATGATTTCAGTAGCTTATAACAGTAGCTTGTTATTGATATCAAGTTTTATGAAACAGGGTCCTGATGCGGGGGGACCAGCAGCGCAGCTAGGGAAGCAGCGAATTACGGGACCCTACTGCTACAGCTGACCTTAGATGGCACTAGAGGGGATTTTGCAGTAGTACTTCTTGGACAGTATGGCTTTAAAGTGGCAAGAAGCACAATTTTAGTACCCAAGATGATAAAGTACCATTTATCTTCAATTATCGATTATCATTTTTTTTTTTCAAGGACTACTTCTACTTCTTGGCTGTTGTCTTTGGCTACTTAACGCTTAAAAAAACTTGAAAGAAATTAGTTCTGCACAGGTTGTTTTTAAAACTTAATACGCCCCTCTATATTTTCAGTTTCATAGTGGCAAATCAGCTTTTGAGTCTCTATTTTGTTGTTGCAATCCATGGATATATTATTGATAATGCCATGAAGTATATGAACAAAATGTCAAAAGAACCCCTACATATTTTGTTCAGATGTGTTTTTTGTTTTATTTTATTATATCAAGTGTAAAGCTGCCTTCAATATTTAACTACCTGTATTTATATATTTGTGTGTTTTTAATTGAAAAGAAATGAACAGAAGAACTGAGATAATACAAACAAAATCCTGTTTTGATGCATACAATTAAAATGTAATTGATTTTACATCAAATCGTCCTTTAAAATCCTACAATAGATATAATGCTAAAAAAATATTTAAAAAAATAAATAAATTGTAATAATGTAAAATACTGCTCAGTACAGTTAACAGCTAAATTTGTCATACCCTTACCAAGTTTTGTAATTTCTAAATTATGTGGAGAAAAAAAACTTTCTCCCCAATTATGTTTCTTGAGAATGTGACATATTTAAAGTTACATTTAAAACTTATTGTAAAAGGCTATGATTCAACCAGCCCACCTTTCATTTTTTAGTTGCAAAAAACACATAAAAGATCAAATTTACAAGAAGTATGAATAATTCAGTTGTTAACTGCGCATGAATGCATGCATCTCCCATTACTCTCCTCATCTGCATTCTCAAATTAGTGGATGACCATGATGGAAAATTGTTCTTATCAATAAAATGTCCTTTTTTTTTTCTCTCTTTCTTTTAATTATATTGACATTGAATTGAACCTCTCCATTTATCAGCATGAAACCCATATGATCCAGAAAGGTTTCAAGTGATTAAAGCTTAGTGAAATTGTTTTTATTTTATTTTATTTGTCAAAGAGGAATACACATCGAGAATGAGAAGGGGTTATTCCTTGACAGGATGACTTATGAAAAATTTGCAATGTCTTGTCAAAGGACGTTAGTGTCGTGGTGGGATTTGAACCTTGCGATCTGCAGTCAGGTAACTTATCTACTAGACCACAACACCTCTACTCTGTCTCTCTCTCTCTCCCTTTCCCTTTCTCTCTCTCTCTTTCTCTCCTCTCTCTCTCTCTCTCTCTCTCTTTCTCCCTTTCTCTCTCTCTTAAAGAAAGTGTAACAGAAACAATCACATTTCATCACTTTAAACATACAATTTCCCAATTGAATAAAAACAAAAACTGAAACAAACACACCCAATGTGCAGTAAAAAAAAAGATAGAATTATGAATGTGTACGATAATGTGCTGAAATATTATTATGTTTAAGAAATACTGTAAAAAGATAGAGGTGAAAGCAATTATTGGTCTTGTAGCACTTAAAGCCAAACTAAAATGCTAATATTCTATCATTTGTTAGATTTATTTCATTTTTAAATCACAAGCTACTACTTCAGATGCACTTTGATCCACTTCAAATATATGAACAAATAGAAGTAGATAAATGAAATAAATAAAAGTACAAAAATGAAAATTATTTTTATTTCCTTGTTTTAAAAGCCGAAGTGTAGTGTTAATTTGAAAATGTCCACTTTGTACCAAACCATGAGCTCACAACTTTCTAGCAAGGGTTAAGTTCAGTTTTGTAGATTTAAATCTCCCCTCTCCCACCCCACGCCTAAGTATTACAATAATTTAATTAAAGCAAACAGAAATATAAAAGCAATTAAATTAGATAAAGACCAAACAATAAATAAAAAGGGGAAACTGTTAAATTTATTACTGTACAGAAATGTACATTTTTCTCATCACATATTGTAAATATAATTAAAATCATAAAAGAAACCATTAATTTGAATCTCTACGAAATGAATCAGCCATGGCATTTGTACAAGGGACATCACCATTATCATTTATTAAAGTGGGCATTTTCCCTTTTATGAGGGGTTACTGACTTTTGTGCTACGACACTCCATGGGACACTCCCTCCCCCACTTCATATCTCGAACATCCTCCTCATTTAGACCAACCAACCTACTTTCTTTCTTCACCACATATATATCATTCCTTGAAATCTTTTGTCTTCCTTTCCCTCTTATGCCAGCTATCCACTTCCAGATCCCACGCTCTCTTCACAGGTTCATCATTTTTTTTTAAATTCCATGTGAAAGAATTCTCATGTGAAGTCTTTTCCTTGCAAAGATTAATTGCCAGGATATTTTCTAAAAATCAGATTTTCCTTTTGTAAGTAGCAATGTGCTGAATCACTTGCTATTATCATTTCTTAATAGACATTCATGTGCCAGAACACCAGTAACATTTACAACATCAGCATTTCAATATAAAAATTACACTCCACACAAAATTTCCTTTTTTAAAGTGAGGTTTTATTACACAATCAAACATATAGTATAAGTACTCACAGATCATGACAAATAGTAAGAACTCCTTTTTATGCTAATTTACAATTATAAAATCTAAATTAGATTTTCCAAAGATATAAATTTCATTTGTTAATGAAATTGATAGGCATTGTAAAAAGAATGACCAATTTGAATATAGGTTTTACAAACTTCTATACATATCTGCATTCCTCTTTTTTTCATTCCACTCATACCATATGTCAATTCTATACAGAAATTCTTCTATTTACACTGTACAAAAACAGGAGACATGTTTATTTAATTAGATTTCTTATATACAATATATAAATGTTCATGAATACATGTACTGTACAAGCAAGGTGATTCAGAGGACAAAAATCCAGAATTCAATTTCAATTGTCCCCAATTATTCAAGCTCTTTCTTGTACTACCTTGCTAATTTCTTTTTCTTTGTTTCTTCCCCCCTCTCTCTCTCTCTCTCTTTCTCTTTCACAACTTCAATTCTTTCATTTGGAATGTATCACATTCAAAAGATTTTGTGATTTGCCCACAAGACAATATGGAATTCTTGTTCAATAACAAGAATTGGTTCTATTCTCTTACTTCATCCTTTTCTTTCCCCATGTCAACTGTATCTCCAAATGACAATTATCTTTTTCTTACCCTTCCTTTGTTTCTTTTTTCACAAATCTGTGTTTCGTTTTAAATGCAGAGAAGAGATACATGAAAATCTTTTCATCTACTTCTAGTCTCTACCCTTCTCATTTCTTCTCCATTTTTGTCTCAGTTGGTGAAATTCTTAGCCTCTCTGTAAACAATGGTAATCACAAAAACTGGTTCAATAATATATATATAAAGAGGTGACCTCTAAAACTTGACCCCTGACCTCAGCTAAAAGAAATACATAAAGTCTACTGATTCCTAAGAAAAAAGCTAGCCCTCCCACCCCCTAAACATCTGCTGCCCCCCCCCCACCCCCTGGTGCATCAGCGTCGCCCACTTCGAAGACTGCCCTGGCTGCTGACCCGGCTACCTGCTCGGGATCCGGCGGGCGATCGTCCACTCTTTGGTGTCCCAGCTGGACTGCTGGACAGGCCAAACCCACCAACGTCCACCGTCTTCATCCCCAGGCTGCTGGCTCGACTCGATGCACCACTCCGGACTGAAGAGGGTGTCCTGTAGTTAAGAAATAATTTAGAAAAATAAGTATTTAGTAAAGGCCCCGATTCAACCAGTCCACCTTTCATTTTTGAGTTTTGAAAAACACAAAAAACATCAAAGGGGTATGAATAAATCAGTTGTTAACTGAACATATAGGAATGTCTGGGGGAATGAATGAGTTAATAATTGATAATTGAATGTACAGCATGTATGAATAACCGGACGGTGGAACAAATCAATTTTTGCTTGGATGGTTGAAATAAGAACTGACTTAAAAGACAAATGAACACAGCAATACAACCTATAACAATCGAATCAATTCACAAGCAAACAAATGAAGACAATAATCATCATACTTTGGGGATGTGAGGCTGCGACTGCTGTAAGCTGACCCTGGTCTGGATGACCTCTGAGTGGCACTGGGTGGGGGTGGTACTGCGAGTCCGGCCTAGAGAGAGAGAGAGAGAAAGAGAGAGACATGAAAAATTCAGTTGTTAACTATATACAAATTGCTGTAATTATTAAAGTAACAAAACGAATAAATAAACTTAATTCAGTCGTTAAATAAAAATAAGAGACAGTTTGAAGACTCATTCAGATGTGATGCGGCAAAACCATGACAGTTCTTTTTATAATGGCGTAAAGTGGAAAGTGACCCAAGTTATTAAAGAAACAAAATGAATAAATGAAATCAATTTATTCTATAAATAAAAGAGAATAAGAAACAGTTTTACAGTGCCATTTGAGAACGAGGCTTTTATGGGAGGGTGAGGCTCTTCCCTCTTATATCAGTAAATAACCAAATAATGAGTCTTGAGGTTTGATTATAGCTGGTCTTACAGTTAATATGAAATAAGCTCTTTTTGAGGTCAATTTATTTTCAGACCTACACAACCGGAAGACTACAAGATCTCTTTCACATTATTAATTGGATATTTTGGATATTAATGCCAAACATTCATGGCATTTGAGAAGCTTGCAAATGGGATTTTGATCTTGCATCTCATACACTTAAAAATCAAGATAAGTTCATTAAAAAAAAGGATTGTATGAAGATGAATAAGGGCCGACTAACAGACTATTTTCGTAATTTAATCAAACTTAAAGGTAAAGACCAGTATTGGAAACGCCCCAATTTCAAAAAATGAAATGGAAGCTCTTATTACCAATCATGTGAAAGAATATGTTTTGAATATTACATGACGATAACAATTTTTACGGGAAACCGCCTACTAATTGATATATTTGGTAAATTAGTATATCTATATACTGTTGAGAGATACAAATGCACGTGTCGCACACGTGTGTGTAGTCCCATATACATCTTTTTGTGTACAATGCTTCTAAATTTATGAAGACTAGTTTGGCCAAATTTCTTATAATTTTGATGATTCCAGAACCTTGCAGTACATCTATGCTAGATGATCAACCTTTTCTGATCGATTTCAAACGTTCCTTTCACTATGCAATTGCATGACCATAACTGGTCTTTAGCTTTAATGCACAAATCTTTGACGGCGTTGTTTCAAATTATTTCATTCACATTCCATGTTGCTAGACGGGAAAAGCCATGTTTGTCCTACCTAGCAACAACTAATGCTTGCAATTTGTCTTAGTATTGCTAGTATCTTTCCATTTGTAAAGTAAAGAAAGCTGACAAAATTTTTTGAGGGCTTGCCAAAACTATACATGACCTTTGTATTTCTATGTGTGATGGTGTTTTTGAATGCCTTGGTTGAACCATTTTCAGCCAGTTGGCAACACCCTGGGGAGTGTTTCACAAAGATCCTAAGTAGAACTTAACACTAAGTTGGACTTAAAAAGTTTGGACAGCCATTAGAGCCTTAAAATGAAATATATTCAAAAGCAAAAATTTGAGTATTTTAGACTTTTCATCAATTCCACATCAAGAACATGAAATTTCCCATGATAATAGAAAATATGAATGATTTGAATCAACATTTTACGCCTTCTAAAAAAAAAATTACAAAATATTTTCAAAGATGCTAATGGCTTCCCATAAATTTTAAGTCCAACTTAGAGATAAGTTCAACTTAGGATCTTTGTGAAACACCCCCCTAAATTACAACATCTGACACGACCCACTTTCTCTTCTTTTTAGCAGTGCAAGGGTGAAAGGGTAAATATCTATGCATACAATTTTAAACCATGAATATCCCCTTCAAGACTTTGATGCCTACCCCTAAAAACAGAGCTCATTGAATACGTGCAGGACTTTTGTTTAGCGCAGTTACCATTCAGTTTCACAGAAAAACCTTAAGTTTATTCCAGTGGTTCACCGCATCATATTTGAACGAGATTTTAGTCGGCATACAAGCATTAGAAACCATAAATTAACAAATCCGAGCATTTCCCTTAACTTTTAAAAATCTCATTTTCGTTTTAGAAGAAGACAATGATGATCTCATAATGGCTTGTAGTACCGGTAATCAAAGCAGGATTACTTCTCTCAAAAAAATTATGTAGATCAGCATAGTGCTTGGATAAACAGTCAATTGGCTGTATGCATAAAAGCAATTGCTTCAAGTACAAAGAATTGCTTGTCAAGCAAAAGATCAATCTCAAATAATTGCTTCAATCCATATGCATATCTATTTTCTTGTTTGTGCTCAAAGCTTTAGCCTGCCTCCAGAAAGCTATTGCTTGCCGTTTCAACTACCGGTATTTCTTTGTATTGTAACAAATATGTTAATGTACCATGTGAATGAGGTTTTCTAATAAATACAAAAACAAATAGAAACAAATAACGAACGAAGGCAGGTTTTGTAGAGTGTATTTAAATGTCATGCATGCGGGGGACTCCTTTTTTGAACTTTTATTAAGCAGTTACTAATTTCTATGCAAAAGGGTTCAAGCAAAAGGCTAATGGAAGTAATTGCTATTTTGTATGCATACGGCCCAATATCGGGAGACTAATAAAAGATTATCATTCTACTTGATTACAGTTTCCAGAGAATTATCATTATCATTAGGGTAATTATCATTATCTATGATTATCTAAACCCGTTCAGACTGTTTATACACAATTTGTATAGCTACACGATAGGGTTTTGTACACTAAACATCATATACATGTACAAAACGTATAATGAAATGTAGTACAGCAAAACACACGTTTGAGCATTGCTTCAAACAAAACAATGATGAATAATCAGGGTCCCATTCTTGTCTGAAACCCCAAACCCTGGCAGAGCTTAGGGTAAATTCACACCGATAATTGGCCTGCTGTCACGTCAAACTGACCTCTTAAAAACTAGTTTCTTTATACCATGCTGTTATGCATTGTGTACAATTCTTTCGCCATACAACGATTCTGAATATGACGTTTTTCCAAGTTTTGTATAAATACTTTCTAGTCTGAATGGGCTATTTATCTTATGCACAAACATAATTTTTACAATCAATTTCTTAATCTAAAGTTCCAGATTCCTTAAGTTAAGAGCTTTAGAAATCAAAATAATGAAAATATAATGTGTACCGGTATGTTAAAAATCAAGTGGCAGGGAATTTTTTTTTTTGGAGCATTTATCTATCAAAATTATATCCCTTTATCTCTCACCGCTGATAGATTTTTGTATCTCAGTGAGTGAATAATTGGGTAGCTATCACAAGATTGGTAAAACAGTTTGCTTTGGAAATATCGTCTGTTCCCATAATCAATGCTGAATTCTTAGGATATATCTGTCACTGATAAACTCTTGTTATAGCTGTGGGTGAGTATCTCATAAATGACACTACTCCTCAACTTTTAATTCACTGATGCTGTAGATGGTGATTTAAAATGATAAAAAAATGGGAATTCAACGGACTGTGCTTCATATTTTAGTATCTTATAACAAATGGACGAATGAGAATGCATAGGACCTTCGTCGCATCCAGCTCCTTTTTTTCATCCCCACTTGCCATTCATTTCGTACATAAAAAAACATCCCAAACACTTGCTTTGTCATATGCAAATGAGCCTTCATCATGTCAAGTCTAGACTATTTACTTTTAACCCCCAAATATTGCCTCTTGTCATTCATTTACAGAAAGATTTGTGCAGCATTTTTATTCTTCTTTCAATCGAACCAGGCTTCATGGGTATGTGTACAATAACATTTTACAAGATTCTGTAAAATGGGAAACTTTTGTGGGTGTACTGATACTCTCTCAAAATTGATGAGTGGCTCAGATTCATAAAAGTTTCATGCTGTAAAATACAGGGGGGTGTTTCACAAAGACTAAGATCGACTTTAAGTTGGACTTGACTATGGCAGGCCTTTCATGCCACTATTTGTTGCACCATTTACTGGCATTGGTCTCTCAAGGGACGTACAAATCAATGTCACAAATTTACAGAATTTACATTTTTTGATAATTCATTATTGAAGGAAAAAATATCTAAAGATCCTGGTTCAAAGACATCCACATATGGACAGGGAAAAAGCTGTCAGAGGCAACGAGAGCAACAGTAGCCAGAGAAGGATGGCGTAAACTTGTGATGGCCACAGCAGCGCAGCTAGCGCCACCTGACTGAAGAAGAAGAAAGTTCATAATGGTGAGAGCTACCAGTGGCATTGATGGCCCGCCATAGCAAAGTCCAACTTAAAGTCGATCTTAGTCTGGAGTTACAACTGACACAACACAACACTGTATTTTGCGTTTCTTATTGGGCCATATGTTTGCGATTTGAGAAGAAGCGTGTCGAGAAAGTTTCTGTTTTTTGACGGTGAAATCATTGCCGAGTGACTTACTTGAGAGAAGAGCATCTGAGCAGTTGGTGATATGTCAGGGTAAGAATGGATCACCTCACCCATCATCTTCATCACGTTCTTGTTGAACTCTCGCAACTCCCTCAGCTCAAAGTCATTCTGCTCACCAGAAAATAAGTGCAAAGAGAACAAATGTTATTTCCTATTACGTTTTACGGTTACAAAATACAATGCATTATTTTCATGAAATAGGTATTCAGGTTGGCTAAATACCTTGAGCCATTTTGTTATTTAGTACAGATATTTTTGGGGATGTAAGGGAAATAGACATTTCAGCTAGTTGTCGTTTTCACAGGTTGCTTACAATACACATTCACAAAAGCATTACCCGCTCAAGTTGCTTGTTCTAAATCAAAAAACCCTACAGCTAGTCATGAACTTTGTGAAAAAAATTGTCCCAACAGTCATGTCAAAATTGTATTTTGCTTTGAAGAGTTGTTCTTATTGTTATGCACATTTATGATATTCTTATATTCCGTGATAAGAGTTAATAAGTGACTGAACTGGTTCGATAGTGCAACAATATTTATGTTTTACAAGATATTAACAATCTTTAAATGGTGTTGCCAATTTGGCAGAAAGTTCTCAACGTACCTCTTCATGAGTTTCACCTTTGACCCTTCTGCTAGCCCGTAGCTCCTTGGCGTAGCGAGCAATCTGCTTCATGACCCTATCAATCTTGACCTTTTGATCGTCAAGCTCTTTGCTTAGTTGCTGCTTCTTGTTCTGTAAAGGACAGAAATGGAGGTTAGCCAAGAGTGCAAAGATTTCAGTGATGCTTTTATTTTAGAGTATTAGCTAGTGCAGACTTTGATAGCAGGATACTCTTAAGTTATAGAGAATGCTCTTTGCCTAAATAACAGAATAAGGAGAAAATATCACAGTTAATCTGATACATTCATAAGCAGTGCATCCACAAAGATATTACCATCATCCTCATCACCATTACCATCATCATCATCATCCTCATCATCATTATCATCATCATCTTCATCATCATCATCATCATCATCATCATTATCACCATCATCCTCATCATCATCATCATCATCATCATCATCCTCATCATCATTATCATCATCATCATCTTCATCATCATCATCATCATCATCATTATCACCATTTTCATGACCATCATCATCATCCCCATTATATGCAGTGCACCATTCATTTCTGTCTAGCTCTCATCATCATCGTCATCAATAACAGTCATAATCACATTCATCATTGCTCGTATCAGTGCAACCTTATAATGATTGTGACTACCCTCTTATTGCTTTCAGTTTAATAGATCGTTTCAGAGTAGGCACTCTCATCTCTGCTCAGGTTCTCCAACATGCCCTCATCCATCGATCACCATGGCAACAAGTACCATCATCAACACCATCACCATGGCAAAAAGTACAATCATCAATATCATCACCATGGCAACCACAACATCATCATCAACACCAAAGCCATCATCACTTCAATCTTCAAAGACCAAAATAATAATAATAATATTCAGCTTTTATAGAGTGCTTAATACATCTCGGACGTCTCTAAGTGCTTTACAGATATAGTATTACCCCTCTTTCTCCTGGTTCATTTTGGAGTAGGCTTTCTCGTTTCTGCCCTTGTTCTTACTTACATGTAAAACCCTTCAACCAACATCTCTCATTCTCTCATTCATTATCACCTAAGCAACAAATACCATCATCAACATCATCTCCATTGCCATCATCACTTTAATCTTCAAGAACCAAAACTGCCCCTCATTCTCACATGTCATTCTAGAGTAGGCTTTCTCGTTTCTGCCATTGTTCTTATTTAATAATAATAATAACAATAATAATAGCTTACGTTTATAATGCGCCTAATACTTTGTTTCTACGCGCAGCACATATATTATTACCCCCCCCCCTTCATCGGATTCAGGCTTACCCGCAACACAATGTATGCACATTTTCCACTCCCTGGGGAGCATTCACATGTGATAACCTTCAGCATCCTCTCATTCATTATCACCTGAGCAACAAACATCATCATCATCATCACCACCATCACTTGCCTCTTTCTCCTGGATCATCTCGGAGTAGGCGCTCTCGTCTCTACCGAGGTTTTCCATGGTGGAGCTCATGGTCTGCAGATCATCCTGTAGCTCCCTGATCTGTCTTCTCTTGTACTTGTACTTGTCCATGGCTGCCCTGAGCTGTTCCTCGAGCCGTTGCTTCTCCTCAAACTCTTCGCCTGCAGAAGGTCATCCAGAGAGAAGATAATTATACCATATATCAAAACAAATACAGTCAAACCTGGTTTAGTGACCACCTGTCTACAAAGGCCACATTTGTTGTTTCCCTTGAAAATGTTTTCTCATTGAATCATGTACTAAAGGAACCTGTCTACAAAGACCACTTGTCTTCAAAGGCCATATTTTGTGTTTCCCTTGGGCGGTCGCTATAGACAGGTTTGACTGTAATATTTATTTGATATTTGATAATTGCTCTTTTGTCTCAACTTTATGAATGATTATGTTTATCATGATGACAATGATGATAATGAAGATTATGAAGATGACTACGCACGCCATCTTTATTACACTCAAACCTGTACATAGAGACCAATCACAGGGAAATTAGAGCGGTCTTTTAAAAGACTTTCTGCACTACTTGTATCTACTTGTGCCCTCTATATAGCAAAGAATGCCTAGTTGGTGCCTGTTGGTCCCCCATGATCCCCTTTTTTGTATGTCATTGAGAGCTGATTTGATGAGATAACCACTAGCCAGTGACCATGACAGGGAGGTCTAATCCCTTCTGGCCAAACTAGTGCAGACAGGCTTTAAACTGGTGGTCTTTCACATGATTTCCAATGAGAATTAAAATGGGACAAAATTATCTTCATTAGACGAGTCTTTTTGCTATACAGATGATCAATGAAGCGGGCTTTACCATATATCGAGGGGTCTGTGACACAAAGACGCAACTCCATTTTGTGAAAAGTGGTTTATGTATCACTGAGCACTTGGGCCATAAGGTGTTAAGTCTATGTTTCACTAGCCATTGACTTCAATGGGGTGTTGGGTGGAGTTAAGTCTTTGTGTTTCCTGGAAAGCCTACATTTTCTGAACATTTTGATATCAAATACTCATTTAGGCAAAATATGGAGTTACGTCTTTGTGTCACTGAACCCTCGATATTGTCAGTTGTCACTTTGCGTTCTAGTCATCACTGCTACTCACTTGTTTCGGTCACCCTGTTGAAGCTCTTCCTGTACTGCTCGTTGCGTCCGTTCATTAGTCTGAGGGTGTTCTCCAGGGCTTTGATCTCCTTCTCTGCCTTACGGATCCTGGCATCCAGCTCGTCTCCCTTCCTCTGTAGGGCCTCCTTCTCCTGGGCGGCCTGTCCAAGGAGGAATCAGTGAATGGTTAGGATAAGGGTATTTTCGTAGATCAGCATTCATAGCGAGGCAATACCATTATACAGTGAAACCTGTCTATAAAGACCTCCCAAGGGAGATAAGAAAAGTGGTCTTTGTAGACAGGTTCCTATAATACATGTTTCAATGAGAAATCATTTTCAAGGGAAACAAAAAATGTGGTCTTTGTAGACAGGTGGTCACCAAAGCAGGTTTGACAGTACCTCAATGTAGTGATCTTGCCCCGTTTATAAAGTCATCAGTAGTGTCATTGCACTTAACTTGGCAAGTACTGCATGAATTTTGGTAACCCCATATACAATGGCAAAGGCATCAGTAGTACAGAAGATTAGATCATAGCTAGTTGAAAGATAGAGTTGTATAATTCGGATGTTGCTTCTGATTGGTCAGAAATTTCATGGAGCTCTGAAAAGTTGCCGCCACAGAGATAAGAGATTGTACATGGAAGGGAACTTACCTTTTACCAGGCGTGCATATTTGTATATATTATATTAAACTATCTCTCCAGACCAGACAAGTTGTTTAATTTATTTGATGCCCCCCGGTCTTTGCATGTTTAATTGCACAGGCCGTAATTTTTTTTTTTTTTTTTTTTTTTACAGATACCATGAATCAATAATATATCAATATATAAATAATCTCATGAACTAACTCATATAAACTAATAAAGCCCACAAGTGTTTTGCTTATGCAGTTGTCTTTCTCCTAATAAATAAATAAACCCTCTAAACATACAGGTACACGACGCCCCCTTGTCTATGCCAGAGTGACCTAGGTTGAGTTTATCAACCGAGAAGCGTACGACGTAACATAACTCGCTGGGCTGGTAAGAAGGCATCATAGAAAGGACAGGGCCAGCGTGAGGTGGAACTGTGTGCGGATCGTGGTTTAATTTGAAATAATTTTTTGTTTTTATTTTTTTTGTAGACTATGACTAATATTATATTAAAATGAGATTGGAAAAAGAAAGAAAGAAATAATAATTTTACCAAGACATTAAAAGAAAGAGATGCGATGAAATTGGCAACAATAGTCAAATTTGACTAATAGCCATTATAATACCAAACGAACAACAACAAAATAATACAGTATTTTGTCCAAAAATGTTGCAATACAAATATAGAATAACAAGATGCAAACAAAAGATGTATTATTTGGTGAGACCTGCTCACATTTGTCACAATCAGAAAAGAATATCTGTGAAATAGCAGCAACATTTAGAGGTATTTGAAAGATAAGGTGGCAGTTATTTCAGGGCTAATACAAGAATGAAAGAAAAAGAGTTCTGAGAAGTTGATCTATGCTTACCCTAATGACATAGAATGCTTGGGAGCGATCCTCCTCACCTTCCGGTGGCGCCATGGTAACCATCAGAATCTCATATCTGTAAAAAGAGTTTAAAGCAATTTTATATTTTTCATTTGGTTCATATTTATTTTCATTTTTTAGGGATATATATATATATATATTCAAATGATTCATAATCAAAGATTCAGTCCTCACAAATATCCAAAGGCAAATGCCTTTATGGAGGTGTTGTGGTATAGAGGTTCATTCACTTACTCTCAAGCTTAAGGTTGAGGGTTCAAACCCCAGCCCAGCACTCACACTCTTTGACAAAAACTTAATCCACATTTGCCACTCTCTACCCAGGTGTGAATAGGTATTTGTTATACAGTCAAACCTGTCTATGGCGACCGCCCAAGGAAAACACAAAAAGTGGTCTTTGTAGACAGGTTCCTTTAGTACATGTTTAAATGAAAAACCATTTTCGAGGGAAACAAAAATGTGGTCTTTGTAGACAGGTGGTCACTAAAGCAGGTTTGACTGTAGCAGGGCTGTCAGGAAGACCAGCATTGAAGCTGATTAGGCTTCCCTGGGTAAACAAAGTTATTATTATTAATTTAAGTCACAAAATGACCTAAATTCACACTGCTCGTTCTACCAAGAAAAAATGTTCATAGAGTAAGACTCCCCTACTCTGGGCTCAACTGTTTGTTTGTTTCTTTGTTTGTTTATGATAAGAATGACCTACGCGTAGTTCAATTAAGTCTCCGTGCAATGTACTATTTCTAGCAGTGAATGACAAAGCCGTTTCGAAAAGTATAAGCTCACCTTTTGCGAAGCTTGTCAATTCTACCGATGCGGTCATGCAACTCAGAACTAACTGTGCTGCGCTCTTCCTCGTTGGCCTTCAATTGCGCCCTCAACATCTCCTTGTGGATAGTTATCTCCTTCCGTCTCTCATTCATAGCCTAATTTCAAATAATAAAAAAATAACTTATATCATCCAATTTAGGGTGAAACTTTTTCAATCTTATCTTAAGTCACTCATAATTTTATTTTTAATAATAATAATGATAATAATAGGCATTTATTTTGCACCATTTATCTACAACTTCTATTTCTCTTATTCACAAAAATGGCTGACTCTGATTTTTCATCAGTTCTTTAACTCATTTGTGGAAAAGCCTGAAATATATTTAATGTTAAAGGGATCCGGTAACTTTGTCTCAGATTCTGAAACCAAATCCTGGATTTAGCTCATGCTGCAATGATAATGATAGGAACCCCATGACTTTTACTAGCCGATCGCCTGTCTGATTATCAAGATATTTACGATTAGAAATCGAAACCAAATTTTGCGTTTGCCTAACGGTTTTCATAACAGTCTATGGGGAAACAAGTATGGTATAACCTGTCACTCAAAGATTTTTACTTTTTTGAGGTACTTCTTGATTATTTTGAAGCACAATTTTTTTTTTAGGGCTTCAATATTACACCATATCACAGACACTGATAACATGTAGGGCCATGCATCTCAGATTTAACATTGATAAACGATGCCTTTAAGGTGTGTTTATACTCTTTTGCACATACCGTTTCCAGCTGCAGTCTGCGTTTCTCCAGCGTCATGACCTCATCAGCTCGCGAGTTGAGGATGTCTCGAAGCCGCTTCAGCTCCAACTTGAGAATATTCTCATCCACCATTTGGTCCTAGATACAGAGTAGGAATGAGAGGAGGAATGAGAGGAGGAAGAGAGAGAGAGAGGAGGGAGAGAGAGAGAGAGAGAGAGAGAGACAAACAGATAAAGATAAAGAGAGCAAGATTCAGTCAATTTGTTAATATTAATTATGGTTGCAAATCCTCAAAATGCACGATCGTTCCTCTTTACTACACAATTCATCCACTAAGTATAACTGCTAGAAAATCAACTTTGAAATAAAATTATATGACCAGAACTAAACACTGACAAATATATTTAAAACAGCGAAATTACTTTAGTTCAGGTTTAAGAAGACAGACGTGTTCCACTGATTTTATATGGAATGCACATCTTCTGTATCTACAGTGTATTAAGAAGACACATAAAAATAACGCCAACATGAAATAATCTTCAATTTTCAATCCAAATACCGGTATGGATTTGTTTTGTTTATTTATTTTGTAGCAGGAATCTAGTTATTTGCCAAGAATGTAAAGCTTGACCTTTTGTGCTCCTTAGAACAAATGGAGTATATCCTGATACATTACACTTAGTCCACCTTTATGTATACGAGCCATTATCTTTACAATGCAACTAACCTGCTTATCCCTGACGATGTGCTTGAGTTCACGGTTGGAGCTATCATTGTGAAGGTTGAGCTCCTCAATCTTGCTTGTCAGGTCGGCCTTCTCCGCCCCGCTCTTGTCGAGGTCACGCTTGACCCGACGTATGTCGTCCTGCAGGAAGAAAGGAATGTCGAAAGGTCAAAGGTTAAGTACAAATATCGTGGATACGATGCTTTAATTATCTCTCTGACAAAAATCTGGCGAAAATCTTCCAACGATGATGGAAAATGCCATAAAAATCAACAGCAACATCATCTGACGAGGTTTCATACAGTAAATAGTCTGTTTACAGCCAGAAGGGCGTTAACTTGTTATTTTACCTAGGTTTGACATCCTTCTGGCTCCAAACAGACGAAATGAACTCATATAATCAGCATTTAAACATTATCAGTGCAGCCCTAATGTAGTAGATAAAATATTAGAATGTCCTTCACAATTGGTCAAACTGCATGCAGTGTAATACTGATTAGACAATAAATGAACATACATAATCCAAGACAAATGTTTACAAATAAAACCTTCAATTTGCTCAGGTGAAATAACATCACTGACACAATTTTGGAATTACAGATATTATCAATATCTACATAACTTATTTGAATTTATTAGATGATAATCTGCTGCAAGACCTTCTTTACCTAAGTTTAGGACCTATGGTTAAAAAAATCCTGCCAAGAAGAATGGGGACACCATAAGAAATTGATCAAAATTTCAAGCAAATATTACAAATATCTACATCACTAATTTGAATGTATTAGATGATATCCTGCTGCAAGACCCTACTTTATTTAAGTTTAGGACTTATGGTAAAAAAAATTCCTGCCAAGAACACTGGGAACACCCTAAGAAATGTCAAGCAATTAACCCCCCCACCCCCCCTTCCATATCCACAAAAGATCACCGACGTACCTGCAATCGCTTGAGCTGGTTGCTGAGCAGACCGTGCGTGTTGTTGCGCTCTTCCAGGAAGTTTGTGAGTTCCTTGATCCGAGCGTTGAGCATGTCCATCTCCTCCGTGCTCCTCTCCCCTTCCAGGCGGGCTATCTTACGCTCCAGCTGCTGGACCGTGAAATCCTGAAGTAGAAAAAAATCAATAATAATCAATAATAATAAAAATGTTGCTTATAAAGCTTTCACCACCAAAGTCTCTAAGCGCTATAACAATCAAAATACAGTGATAAACAAACACATATTAAACAAAATTTCAAATAAACATATGAAATAATACAATACATATGAAATAATACAATACATATGAAATATTACAATATTAATGAAATATACGTCAATGTGAACAGATTAATAAGTAATGGTTTATAAAATGTACCCGGATAACTGTGAAATACTGTTACAGTAATATGATTTACAAAGAGTATCAGGATGACTGTGTAATATTATTTAGATATCTTATGATTTACAAAAATGTGCCCAGATGACCATGCATTATTTGATAACATTTCATGGTTTACTAAAAAATATGTCAATTACTGTGCATATCTCATGGTTTATCATTTTGATACTTCATGATTTGCTTGTACACCAACAAGTACATAAATGAATATGCATTCGAGTTTGCGAAGGCTAAGACAATTCAAATACATGCTTTATCCTTTCATCTTCTTTGATAACGTCTTTATAAAACCAAATTCTTCACTTTCTACTCTGGAGCAAACATGACAGCTAGATGGGCGCACCCTATCGATAACCCTAAATTGATTATTTAATTGATTGTATTGATCATTTCTTCATTTCTCCTCCCTTTGACGTACCTGGTTATAAATAATCTCTTGTTGCTTGAGTGAATCATGGTCCATTTTGTTGATACGGCTTGAAAGGTTGCGACTCGCTGCCCTGGCTCCTTGGATCTCGGCGTTTGTGTTTTTCTCTGCAGTCTTGGCTTCATACAGCTCCTACAATTTTTAATTACGATATGAGGCAAGAAGAGAAATAATAAGTAGGAAATAGAAAGGAATAAGTCAGAAATAACGAGGAAACATACAATATTATGCACACATTTCCATTACTTTAGATGTTAGGGAATATTCCTTAAGTAAATAATAATAATAATATTTGGTTCTTGTATAGCGCATATCACATTTATTACGTCTCCATGCACTTCAAAAGAGCTTTGGAAATCAAACCAAATTCAAATAATTTATTCACTCAATATAAAAAACAGACACATAGAATTGCGAATAAACGCATACATGTATAACAAATATAAAAAGATGGACATAGCAAAATCAGTAGATGACAACACAAATAACATGAATTGAGTGGGGATCAGATTAAAGATCTACTCAAAGATCTTGTGAATTTGACCCCTTAGAATAAAATAAATTGTATTGTATACTGTTGCATGTACAACAACAGGAGGGAGAGAATACATATACAGCTACAGCTGGGTCAGAGAGAAACAAGAGAGGGAGATAGATAGAGAGAGAGAGAGAGAGAGGGGGGGGGGGGGAAGAGGAAGGAAAATTGAAGGAGAGAAAGGCAAGATGAGAAGTAAAGTTAATACATAGGATGAAATTAGACCCAAGCAGAATAATAGTACATACAAAATAGAAAATAGAAATAACAATTATAAAAAGAAAAAACCCATACAAACCAGGGATATAACAATTAACATTGACATAAACAACAAACAACAGGTGACTCAATGTGGATAAGATTGTAAAAGCCTTTCTTTGTATTGTCTCTTGAAAACATTCAGAGAGCATGCAGATTTTAGATAAGGTGGCAATGCATTCCATAGTTTGGGACCTGCATAGTAAATTGTCTTTTGAGAAACTGAAGTTCTTGCATATGGGATGTGAAAGTCTGCATTTGAACGAGTACAGTGGGAGTGGATTGAAGAGTTAATGGAAACATAGCGAGTCAGGGATAATGGCAAGATCTGTCTCTGACAAGAGAACATAAAAATGGCCAAGAACCCTAGCTTTAGAAATCACTAACAAGGAAATGTACATGTATACTGAACTGAACAGGAATAACACTGAATATGTACTGAACACTTACAAAGGACTAATCATGAGAACATTAGTCCCAAGAGTGCATGACAGCTAATTGAACCAATTTTTACTCAAACCGTTTAAAAGTAAAGGCTACCCTTAATCATGATTAAGGATATTGTGATTGGTAAGGTGGCACTAGGTCTGTATTATATCAGTCACACCAACTAGACTGAAACAATTGGTCAGTTTGGAGTCAGCAAGGGTTAATTTGGTAGTGTGGATAAGCTTTATGTCAGAACAACCATTGAATATTCATGACATGGGGGGGGGGGGCTGTTTCACAAAGATCCTAAGTTGAACCTATCTCTAAGTTGGACTTAACAATTATGGAAAACCGTTAGCATCCTTTAAAAATATTTTGTAAAAGTTATTTTAAAAGGCATAAAATGTTGATTCCAATCATTCATATTTTTTATTATCAAGGAGATTTTTATGTTCTTGATGAAGAATTTATGAAAAGTCTAAAATACTTCAATTTTTGCTTTTGAATATATTTCATTTTGAGGCTACAAATGGCTCTCCATAATGTTCAAGTCCAACTTAGAGTTAAGCTCAACTTAGGATCTTTGTGAAACACCCCTTGATCATTGAAATCACTTACCTGGGACCTCTTGTACTGCAGATCTCTAAGCCTCTTGAGTTCCTGCTCCAAGAAGTGCAGTGTCGTCTCCTCATCTTGCAGCATGCCGTCCATGATGGCTGCCATCTCCTCAGCCGAGAGGGACTGGTCCGTGGCAGACTTGAGTTTACTCATCAGCTCACCTCGGTGCCTCTTGGCATTTTCCACTCTACCGATTGAACACAAGTGAAAAGGATGAATATCGGATTATGGAGTTGTTTTGGTGTTACAAATTATGTGTACAAATCCCTTGGCATTTTCCATTCTTCCGAGGGGCTTTTCACAAAGCCTTTTTTCAATGACTACCGGTAATGACAAAAATCAGTGACAAATCTGCTGATAACCAATCAGAAGCAAGGATTTCAGTAGCTTATAACAAAAACTGTCACTTGTCATATTATATGACCCATATATAAAAAAATATTGAATTTGTCTTACCTCTCTTTCTTGACCTCTACATCCTTCTTGAGTTCGTTGACCTGTCTCCTCATGGCCTCCAGGTCAGTGGCTGTCCTCTCCACTGTGAACTTCAGGGTCTCCAGCTGATGAAGATAAGAAGATATGGAATAAATAGGTAGCACCACGTTCATAGCCAGGTCTTGTATAATGCATACCACAAATATGTCTCTATAGGTTTGTCTTCATCAGCTTGAGATTGCCAAAAAGCCCGCTATTTCTGATTTGGGAAATAAGCCCAAGGTTACAAATCATGTCTTCATCAGTCGAGACTCAACCTCTAAACTCCAAACTTGAACTCGAGAAATTAGCTTTGCTCAGCGTTCGCGCATAGTGCGAGTCTTCGGACTGTTGAGACGCACCGGACAAATAGCGGGATATTTTGCAAACTAGCCCAAGATATCTTGGAATGATTATCTCGACCAAATATCCCACTTATTGCAACTGCAGGCTGATAAAGAAGCAAATTGGCTTGATAATTTGCGATAGGGATAGTTAAAATAGCGGGTTATTTGGCAATATTGAGCTGATGAATACAGGCCTTATGAGGTTTGGATATTAACAACGATCTTGAAAAACATCATTTGTAATACTATATTAGGTACATGTCAAGAAAAGGTTTTTAACTTAGGCATCAGACACTTGAGGATCATTTACACATTACATGGCAAACTGCTTAAAAAACAGCAATGGCAAAATATTTAATTTTTTGTGTGTTATTCATAGGATGGCAAGTGGGTGAGAGAAAAAGCAAATGCAACAAAATGGCTCTAGGCTGGAGACCTCCCAAGTGGAAGAAGAAAGTTGGACTTTGTAAATGACATAGAGGCTAAGGTAGGTAGGTAGTGGTGGTTATTTTACCTGACTGCTAAGAAATCATTAACGCTCGTTTAGTATTAAAGCAAAAAGAGGACCGACGGCATTAGGTCCTCTTCGAGGGACACTTGGCAGCTGTATCCTTACCTCATCCGCAAACTGAATCCTCTGGTTCTCGTTGTCTTGATAGTCCAGGCGGAGCCTAGCAGCCAGGCGGTCTGTGGCCTGGATCTTCTTGTTCTGCTCCTGGTTGTTCTCCATCTCGCTCTCCAGGAACTGCTGCTTCTCCTTCACCATCTCCTCATGGTCCATCAGATCCGATTTGGCCTCTGCCAGTTTCTGGATGGAGCCAGAGAAAGTAATAAAAGTTAGACCCAGGAAAGTCATGATTAAAGGCATTGTTTAACAATGCTAAATCTGAGATGCACAGCCCTTGGTGTTATCAGTGTTTGTGATATTGTGTAATATTGAAGCCCTACAGAAATTGCGCTTTAAAATGATCATGAAGTGCCTCAACAAAGTAAAAATCTTAGAGTGACCGGTTTTACCATACTTGTTTTCCCCAATAGACTGTAGTGTTATAAAATCTGTTAGGAAAATAAATTTTCAAATTTCGATTTCCAATCATAAATATCTTGATAATCAGACAGGCAATCAGCTTGTAAAAGTCATGGGGTTCCTGACTGACCTGAAGGTTTGTCATTATCATTGCAGCATGAGCTAAATCCAGGATTTTGTTTCAGAATTTGAGACAAAGTTACCGGATCCCTTTAAGGTCCAACAACACATGCTCAGGTGACATTTGTTCTGAAGTCTGTTTCCTACACTAACTGAATTCCTAACTTCAACCATGAAACCCAAACGCTAAAACCTAATCCTAACCCTAAACCCAACCTAAACCAATTGCAACCCTTGCCCTAATTCTACATCTTTTAGCAAAGTGATGGAGCATACTTTACTTCATGTAGGAGAAGCCGAGTGCAGATTGATTGGTAATAAAGCAAACTTGCCCAAGATGAAAATGTTAATGGATTACTTTCTTTTGAACAGTTTGTTTAGCCATTTAAAAAAAAAAAACCTAAGTAATATCTACAAACTTATTACTCATTATACTACTACTAGGTCGAGCATACTCGCACTGATTTGACAAGCTTTTTCCATTCAGTTCTATTCTCCATGATCTTTAGGAGCTCCTGTCTTGGTAGACAGGTGTCTTTTTCTAACTGGTTAATGTAAGTCATTGCTGGGCGCCCTCTGGTGCGCTCGCCCCTTGAGGGCTCCCAGAAGAGCATTTGTGAAATGATTTCACTCTTGCTCTTCCAGCAGTGCCCACTGAAACGGAGGAGACGGTCCCTCGTCTGGCTGAGATCGGTGTAATGTCCCTATACAGTTCAATATTGGTCATATGGTCACTCCAGTTGACATTTAGTGCTGCTCTCAAGAGCTTGTACAGCAACCATCCAGTTGTTTTGCCAACTACTCATTATAATTTAGTTATAATCAGGAACAAAAAGGCTTGAAAGGCTTGTGCTTTACCGTGGCAAGCCTGTCCATCTCTCTATCTCTGCGCTGCATCTGTTCTATGGTCTGCTCCCACTGCTCTATCAGCTGTTGACGATCGTTGTGCGACTTGCGGAACTCTTCTGCAGTCTTGTCCATCTCCAGCTACAGGATATTGAAAATGAAGAGAAAAAATTAAATCACATTTTGATGCTCAGAGGTTTAAACATTTATTACCTTTTCCTTTCATGTGGCATGAGGTTTTCCTCGCAAGCTAAAATATAACCTAGGATTACACTGGTACAGTCAAACCAGTCTAAAGCAACCACCCAAGGGGAACACAAAAAGTGGTCTTTGAAGACAGGTGTTCTTTGTAGACAGGTTCCTTTAGTGCATGTTTTGATGAGAAACCATTTTCAAGGGAAACAAAAAAAGGGTGGTCTTTGTAGACAGGTGGTCACTTAAGCAGGTTTGACTGTAATTATCTCACATTTTCTTTGAACTCTTCAAACATATTTTAGTTGTTTATATAAATGAAATCAAAAATAAATCCAGATATGAACTGGAATCACCACAAGTAACAAGGTATAGTTACAGAAGAAAGACTAAAATGCAGTGCACAAATCTTTCATTTTGCATTTTTTAACTGGTGTATTTTCACTGTGGCTACATGAAAATCAAAGAAAACTATCTTGATCTCTTTATACTATATCCTTGCTATGGAAAGACAGCTTAAATTATTTTCTTTATAATTTTACCTCCTTTTGTAATATGAGAATTCTTTGCCTTTAAAACATTGTTTACTTCTTACCTGTGCTGTAAGTGTTTCTGTCATTTCTGAATTTAAGTCCTTCTTCTTCTTCTGGCATATCTCAGTCATTCTCTCCATCTGCAATCTCAACTCCTGCAATAAATAAAACATTTTCAGGTAATTATTATATTATTATATACCTCTGTTAACCAGTATATCACTGTGTCCATCTCATGAGAGACAGTAGGCCGTTTAGCTGATAATTTTGCAAGGAGTTAATGCCCTTCTGGCTCTCAGCATTTGACGAAGGAGTAATTATTGATAAAATGGGGCAATAAAATCAAATGAACTAAAGGAAGGATTCATTTCGAAGCATCCCATTTTTTATAGAAATTTGAAAATAGATATTTTTCTGACACATTTAAAGAGGATAGCTACTTAACATTTTCAATACACTTTTTAAAACTTGGTGGGCTTTGTCATCATAATCTGGTTCCAAAGTCACTGCATTTTTAAATTTCATCCTGAATTGGAGTCTCTTTGTTGTGAATGCCAATGTGATTGTCATCGCTACCGTCCCGAGTCCTATCTTAATATAAAGAGACGATATCAATCGCAACTTATTCGCAACAATGTACATAAGAGATAGGGGACTCCAAAATTGTGATATCACAACTCTTTATAAGACAGGGCCCTGGATTCTGTTTCATAAAACTTTTTATCTATAATAAATGCTAAATTTCTATGACAAATTTGCTCTCAGCCAATCAGATGCCATGATTTCAGTAGCTTGTAACAGTAGCTTGTAACTTGTTATTGATTTCAAGTTTTATGAAACAGGGTCCTGGGGGGGGGGGGGGGGTTCACAAACCCCTTTTTCATGACAAATGACAAAAATTAGTGACAAATCTGCCGATAACCAATCAGAAGCAAGGATTTCAGTAGCTTATAACAACAACTGTCATTTGTCACTGATGACAAGTTTTGTGAAATGGGTCCCTGGTCTTACCTTGAGTTTGGCGTCATCGATCTGCCTGTACTTGGTGATGGTCATGAAGTCTTCATCCTTCCTGGCGGACTCCTCCAGCCAGGCTTCCAAGGCTTGCTGGTCCCAGTTCAGCTGCGACTTGAGCTCCTCTAACTTCTGCGTGTTCTTGAAAATTGTGTTCTGATAAAGAAAAGACCATGAACAGTTATATTTATACATTTATACATATCTACACGTATTTTCACCAATCCACAAAGGGAATTACTTTAGTAATGAGAAGGGGGGAATGTAAAATTACTTCATCTGTTACCCTAATGGATGGGTTTTAACTTCTGGGTGTTCCTGAAAATCGTGTTCTGATGAAGAAAAGACCATGACAATGATAAATAACAGTTATATTTATGACATCTGTTTTGACATATTCTATTTTCGCCAGCCAACAAAGGGAATTACTTCAGTCCTATAATGAGAAGGAAAAAAATGAACAGGGTGGTATTCTCAAACTATTTCATCTATTACCCTAATGAGAGGGTTTGAATTATACCAAATCTATATGCACGTCTTGTCACTAATACTTGCACAGAAGTTTAATTTTTTTTTTTACATAAACTGTTATTCTGTAAATGAAATGTACTAAAGGGAGATGAGATCAGCCAGGTCAATATAAGCAGGTAAACATCAAAAGAAGGTTCATTAAGGTTACAATGAGAAACACCATTCAAGGGAAACAGAGAAATATTATCCTTATAAACATGTGGTCTTCCTAAACAGGTGATCGCTGAAGCATGTTTGATTGTGTAATGTAGCTGTATTCTACTTTCTATTTTCATTTACTTAGTAAACAGAACTTTGACCTCTTACCTGATGGATGTTTTTCCTCTCTTTGATGTCACCGAGGTCATTCTCCTGCCTGACGATCTCTTGCTTCAATCGCCCTTCTTCCCTCTGGGCCACTAGCTTCATGTGATTTTCTGTCTCAATCTCGTTGTCCCTGGCTCTGCAAAGATTCTGCATATACAAAGACAAGATGAATATGTAAATCAAGTGGAAAAACCTTTGTCATTTAACGAAATAATTGCTGTGATAACACAATAATATGCACCAGAAATTGTAAATATTCAAATGTTTTGTGTGTTAAAGAAATGATGTTGCTTGAGTAGCCCTTCCTCCTTATTGGATGCAAGATGCATGTCATTCTCTTTTGTCAGTTCTCAGAATATCTGATATAAAAGAAAATTTAAAGAGCCATAATGACTTCCAGTTACGAAGAGCAAAATTTGAGAACTAAAGAAGACCTTGCTTATATCTGTTTTGTTTCATGTTTTATCAATATCATCATAAAATATTATTTAATTTCTTATTTTGCTTTGGGTTGCTTTTCAGTGGAAATTAATGAATTTGATGAATAAATTTGATGGAGAATGGTATTTAAAGAACAAAACATCTCAAGGTTCCGAAGGAGCTCAATAATTTTGTTTGTTCTTGTTGTTGTTGTTGATTACCTGTGTTTGGTTGAGTTCCTGCTGCACATTCTTCATATGTTCTGACATAGCATGAACACGGTCTTCATTCTGACTGACCTCCCCTTGGAGTTTCGCCTTCTCTTTCTGTCCTTTAGCAACCTGAAAAAGGAAAAGAAATCTGTAATGAGTGCCTACAGCAAAAATCAACTTGAAGTTAGACCTGGAAGCTTGGCAGCTGGAGACGGCTTTCTTCCAGAAGCTTTGGTATTCAAGGTATTCAAGGTACATGTATATTCAGTGTAGATCTATACCTTTGATCTGCATTTGTTTACTTTGAAAGAATGGCTAGAGTGTCCATGTCTGCGCAGCACCATTGTGAAACAAAACAAATAACACACAATTTTTGTCTCTATTAATATTAGTTATACTACTATTACTAGGTCTAAGTCTACTTGTTCTAAAGACAAACAAAAAGTGTTAACTATTTTGAAGGAAAATAACATTTATTTGTTGGCACTTTAGATTTATTCAAAAGCCTTGAAGTTGAAATGCAATGTTTCACATCAAAGTAAGTGTGTGCACACATAGACACCGCTGTTTTTTGCAATGTCAAAAACATGACAAGGACAATTTTACTTCAGTCTTCAGAAAGGCCTCAGGGCGCGACAAACCCGCTTGCCCGACGTCCCGGGGCAACCAAATTGAGCCGTCGGGCAAGTAAATCAAATTATCACTTGCCCGATTCGGGCAAGTGATACTTTTACAGTAATTTCCTAGTGTCCAAGAACTCTACCATTCACCCGTCAACTTCTTACCCGTCGTCAAAATCCAGAAGCAAAAAAGCGATCGTTCCGATTTCGAAAAAACTTCACAGACAGCTAGCCAGCTCAGCTAGCTCAGCGCGCATGCAACAGTGACACTTCAAGCCATGAATGCCGCTCCGCCTCCACGCACGGCCGGCCGTGAGCTAGCTAGAGACAGCTAGCGCGATCGTACCAGCTGCGAGCTTATTCGCGCTCTCTCTCTCTAGCTCTGCAGGCCGCACCGACAGGCCTTTGCTATTCTCTGATTGCCGATTGGTTGAATCACGCCAAATATGACGTCATTATTCTAGGGAAATGAACACGTGCGAATCGGAATGGAATAAACAACAGGGATTTTCTAGTAAGTACAAAAAGTCAAATGTTTGATATTTATTCATAATGACTGTTAATGATTGTGAACATATTATTTAAAACTCGCTGCTCATATAAATCAGATGAATGTTTTTGTCTCGTTTTCAATTTATTACTGCGGTCTCAAGATCCGACCGAGCGAGTCATTTTGATAATAGTATCGAGACCCCCAGAATATAAGCCGTTGTTGTTTTGTTTTCATGGTTTTAGCGACGTTGTTTAGTCTAGTTTTCGCATACTTATCCGAGATTTATCGTAAAATATCTTCAATATTATTATTTAGTAAGAATTTACAAATTTTGGCATGATATTTATAGCAGTGAATGATGAAATAAAAATGTCCGTACTTTATTTAAAATAGTTGATTACCCATTATTTACATGACGTTTCTTGATGGAAGAGTTGACCCAAATTATTAACAGCTGAAAATTAGCCTACGTTTCCAAATGACAGCGGCTTGCACAGACACACACGTGCGTTGATCAGCTGTTTTTTCTCGATTGTGCTAGTAAACAAAAAGTTTTGGGCAAGTGGAAATATTGTTTGGGCAAGTAAATTGAAAACCCACTTGCCCGACAGGGCAAGTGGTGAAAAAAATTCTTGTAGCACCCTGGGCCTTTATTTATAAAGCCTTGCTTTATTAATGAAAATAAGATATTGTTCTTGCTCAAAATTTTGAGATTTAAAAAAAAATCAGAACTCTTGACATAGATCTAGATCTAACAGTTAGATTCTAGATCTAAAAGTTAAATCTAGACTCTAGATCTAGACCTAATCTAAATCTGAAGAAATATCATGAGACTAGACTAATTAGTATTTTTTTTTTTCTCTTTGCCTCTTAGAGGTGTTTATTCAATATTCAAACAGTAACATAATTTTGCTTACAATTTAGCAAATCAATGGAACATCAATAATACACAAGTTATTTACTCAAATATAACTAAGCAAGTTCGCAGGAAATTTCATATTTTGTACTTTCAAATGTTCGTTTATTTCTATTCTGTCAGTCATTTCTCTCTTAAATAAGTAAATCAAACTCAAATCTCTATTATCATATCCATACTTATTACGAAAAATAATCATTTTATAAATCGACCAAAAAGCAATAGTCATTATCAAATCGATTTCGATTTGCGAATTCATTTTGAGTAATAAAACAATATCTATCTCTATTCTAAGATTGAAAGCACGTAAAACTAAGTCCTTTAAATACTTAAAGAACCTTTCATTTGCCTTACATGAAATGAAAGCATGAAGCACATCTTCAGTTTTTTTGCATTTTAAACAAAGGTTATCGTATGCGAGACCCCACTTGAACAGATTGTTACGGACTGGTAACATATTATATAAAAGCTTGAAATTAAATTCACGTAGACGAAAATCTTTTATCCCAATCAAATTCCTATCAAAAACAGAAGACCATTTAACGTCCTTCTGCAAGACATCTTCCCAATACAAACAACATTTATTTATTTTAATTTGTTCAAAACTGATCATATTATACCACTGTTTACTACTCAAAAAACTAACAGGCTTAACTGATTTTCCAAATACAAAGTGGGGGATAGAGAGATTATGGTCTTTGAAAACCAAAGGTACCCTATGTTTATCATTTATCCAAATTTTTGGAATTGATTTTTGTAGCTTTGTATAGTCAAAAATCAAAAATTGTTTACTTCTTCTAGTATTAAGGCGGATAAATAATTCATTTACTGAAACAAAAGTACCATCTTTAAAGATATCATTTAAGTATATAATACCAGTCTTCATAAAATAACATTTTCTTTTCAAAAACAATATCTTGATTATACCATAAAATATTTTCGTCGACATGCTTCTGTGTCTGACATTCAGCGGATGTGTATTTGTTTATGAGGTACCATGCATGTAATATTTCTATGTAAAAATGTGGGACGTTTCTAAGTTTTAAGAGATTTAAAGTATAATCAGTATAATTGCAATTGAGGAGTAGATGCAGCCCTCCCAAACAGTCAAACCAATGTTTACACATATCTTTCCAATTTCCTGTTGTATTATCTAAAAACATCCCAAGCCACTTCAACCTAAAACTAAACATTTGCCTTTTAACATCAATCATTCGTATTCCTCCTTCACAATAATCCTCAGTAACAATACATCGTTTTACCTTTTCAATTTTACTTTTCCAAAGAAATTTAAATATCAGGCTATTAAGTTTTATCAAAAAAGTAGACGGTATTGTATCAACAATCATTAAATGTATAACTTGACTAATTGCAAGTGATTTAATAATAGTCAGTCTTCCAAACAAAGTCAGGTTTCTTTTTCTCCAGTTATCTAGCAGTTTTTGCATTTTTTCTAATTTATTTTCCCAATCAATCTTTAAAGCACACTGCAGATCAGGTGCGATATGATGTCCTAAGTATTTTACTGGCCCATCTGTCCAATGTAAACCAAAACAAGTTAGCGACCATCGTTGACAGGCTGTTCCAATCCAACTCAAGACAGTCTTTTCTCTATTTAACTTCGGTCCTGCAACTTTGCCAAAAACCTCTAATTCGATTAAAATATTTTCAAAAGAATTTATATCAGATACATAAAATAAGGTGTCATCTGCATATTGCAGCAATTTCAGATCAATACCTTTATCATCAATATCTAGACCTTTGATTTCCTTATTTTCTCTCACTTTATTTGCCATTAATTCTGCGGCCATTACAAACAATAAGGCCGAGAGGGGACACCCTTGGCGTATTCCTCTCAGAACACTAAAAGTTTCAGATAACCATTTACAATTACAAAACTTGAAATATTTGTGTATAAAATTGTTACCCACTTCTGGAAAACAGGTCCAAAATTAAATTTACTCAGACATTTTTTGATAAAAGTTACATCAATTACATCAAAGGCTTTAGAAAAATCTACCATCATAAGAGCACCGTTTTTACCGTTCCTTGTCATGTATTCGATGATATCTTTAGTAAGTCTTACATTACAAGCCGCCAGACGACCTCTTATGTAACCCGACTGGTTTTCATGAATAATTTTACCAATTACTTTTTGAAAACGGTTTGCAAGCACTGTTGCAATTATTTTATAATCACTATTCAGCAATGTGATCGGTCTCCAATTCTTCAGCTCCCGATGATCCCCTTTCTTGTATATCAAAGTAATTATTCCTTTCCTTTGAGTATCCGACATTTTCTCATTAGCATAACACTCGTTAAGAGCGGCAACTAAAATATCACAGATCTCATTCCAGAACACCTGATAGAATTCCGCGGTTATTCCGTCAGAACCTGGAGTTTTGTTTTTCTTCATTGCGAATACAGCTTGTTTACATTCTCTGTGTGTTAATAAACCTTCACATATTTTATTTTCATCGTCAGAGAGAGATGAAGTATTTTGAGAAAAAATATAATCTTCTGCATTTTTAACATCAATATCTTCTTTAGTATACAACTTACTATAAAAATCAACGGTTTCTTTCAATATTTCGTCTTGTTTTTCAATAATTCTTTTCCCATTTCCTGTCTTCAACTGATTTATGTTTTTTCTGCTAGCATTTCTCTTTTCTAAGCTAAGAAAATATTTAGTACTTCTTTCTCCCTCTTCCATCCATCTTGCCTTAGCTCTGATACCAGCTCCTTTAGATTCTACTTTATATATATTTTCCAGCTCTTCTTTTATGACCCTATATTCGTTTTCATTATCATTATTTCCACTTTGGTTATCAATACATTTTTGTAATACATTAAGCTTCATTTCTAAGAACCCTTTTCTATTTTTTTGATCTGCAACTTTATGTTTACAATATTTTTGTGTAAATTCACGTATCTTTATTTTCAAAAGTTCCCATTTCTGTAGGGGACTCATATTTTGAGAATTCATTGAACTAATAACATCACAAATATTTTTATGATAACAGTCATCAGACAGAACACGACTGTTCAGCTTCCAGTAACCTGGACCCTTTTGAACAGTTTTTGTTTTGATTTTTAAAGAAATTGCGTTGTGATCAGCTCTTATTGATGGTCTGATATCTGTGTTTACAACTCTCCCTAAAAAACTTTTATCGACCAGCCAATAATCTAATCTTGAAGCAAGTTTTAGATATTTATTTCTCCAGGTAAACTGAATAGTATTAACATTCATTTTCCTCCAGATATCACACAATTCGTATTTCTTTAACAATCTACTAAAATTTAGCGGTTTCTTGTAATAGGAACGGTTTGTTCCCTGAACATGTATAGTGTCTTTCTTGACATTCAGTACACAATTCCAGTCTCCTGCCATTACTAATTTAGATTTTTCGTACTTTTCACAAGAATTTGATACGAAAGTATTCAGATTTCTAAAAAACCGTTCTCTTTGCTTTTTCTTAGTTGGTGCATATACATTTACCATTGTCAATAAAAGGGTTCCCATTTTAACTCTTAGTAACAACTTTCTTCCATCATCACTCTGCTCTATACTAGTGACATCTATGTCTAGGTGTTCATCAAATAGTATAGCAACTCCTTTGGAGTGATTTGTGCCGTGCGAAAAATAACACGGCCCACGCCACTCACTTTTCACAATTTTTTCAATGTCGGCTGTCCAATAAGTTTCTTGTACAAAGAATATGTGTCCCTTTTGATGTCTAAACCATCTGAAAATTTGACTTCGTTTTTCCTTATTTCTAAGACCACGAACGTTTAAACTTAAGAAATGACAATTCGACATTTACATGAAAAAGGAAGATTGTATAACAAAAATCAAATTGAAATAAGTTTGTTTGACATATCTATCATTTTTTTTTCGGTGGTTTTTTCGTCGACTTTTGCTTCCTCTTTTTACTCTTATCTGTATCATCTTTCACTCGGCGTGTTGGCAACTCGGGTGATTCCAAAGATATTTCGGAGGCTTCTTCTTCGCTGCCGTCATCAACTTCGCATGAAGAGACATTGCTTGAAGCATCTGTACGTGAGGGCGAAACGTAGGAATCAGGATTGCTAGAGAGAGGAGCAAACTTGTTAGCGGAAGAGGATGACACATTATCCGGTTTGTTTACTTCGACTCTCTCAACGGCTCCATGGGGTGACTCTCTACTATCTCCGTGCAGAAATTGCGTAATCTTTGACTGAGCGCGCGTCTGGTAGTCATGGTGCGATGGGTAGTTGTGAGACGATTCAATTGTCGCTTGTTGTCTTCCAGATGCGACGAGTTTCTCGATGCTGGCTAGAACGTGTGGGGCAGTTGCGACTTCGGCTGCTGGTATAGCTGGGGTGTCAGGTTTACTAGTAGGATCTTGCATATGTAACGGAGCTGTTGGGGTATCATCTCTGGTGCAGTCTTGCTGGATGTGTCCTGGTTGATTGCAACGGCGACACACTACAGGGCCACTGCACTGGGAGCGATGATGACCTTCGCTCAGACATCTCGAGCATACAGCTTTAGGTCTCGTAGTTGACGGGAGTTGGCCATAGTGGAAGATCTTGCCTTTAAAAAGGCCAAAGTTCATGATTCGGGGGAGGGGGGTTGATGGTTGCTGAATATACACAACTCTGTCGCCTGTTAGACAATCTGTCAAACGCCCATCCACGCGGAGGCGTTGGTAGCTAACAGTCCCCAAAACTTTGTACTTTAGTCTCTCGAGTTCATCAATGATCAGGGAGTCATGGGCAGATGGTGGTATGTCCCTAATCAGAAGGCGAAGACTATTTTCATTTTCATCTCTAAGAAATGGGTTTTTGTCATACACAGCAATGTTTACATTCCGTACATTCAGTCCATTCGTAATGATCTTGATTCTCTTGTCCTGATTTTCTACATACAGTCTCCACAGACCTCCGATTTTCTGAATTCCTTTGATATCACAGCTAGGCACACTTTTACAGAGACATTTGAAAATCTCTTCATTTGTAATCACTTTATCATCAATCGTTGGGATGTCTTTATGTTTAACAAACACTGGCTTACCTCCAAAGTGCGTAACTGTTGGGAGTTCATGTCCAGCTTTCCCAGCGTATGACGTACTGTGTGCAATTGCCGCCATATTCAAAATCCAAAAATGGGCGGGGCAGTTGACAAATACAAAATCCAGTTAAATTCAAGTTCAGAATTACCATCCGAGTCCAGGATATAGGTTGATAGATCGTATAGATGTTCAAAGCGTCTTTCAATACAATATTTCAAGTAAAAAGGTTTCCAAATTTCGGAAAACAAGGGATTTTCAGCTCTCTGGAAAAGGTCTTAACCATTTCAAGTGAAGTTGAATAGCGCCCTCCCTAATTAGTATAGTCCCTAATTAGTATACTAATTAGTATAGTCCCTATTTCATATGATTTTATAAGAAAATCTTTGTGAATTTCAAATCAATTGCAAAGTTAATAAGCAAACAAAACGGCGCTAGTTCCAGGCAAGAAAAACTAAAAATATAAAATAATTTAGACTCTAGATCTAACTAAGTACTAGTTTAAGTAGATCTAGTCTAGTCTAATGTGAACCGTCTTATTCCCAATAAAATTGAAAAATCCATGAAGAAAAAAAAATTGAATATACTCACGTGTGCCTCCAGCAGTTTATTAACCTGATTGGCGACAGGAATTTGGAGCCCGCTGTCCCACTCCATATCACTCAAAACACTCTTGACGCTCATGTTGGATTGGCTTGATTTCGACGTTCCACACGGCTGTAGCTACAGGACCGCGCTGCCCAAGGCACGGCGGTGGAAGATGGCGAGAGAGGGGGTGTTGTTACGTTACAGTGGCGATCAACACTGATATAATCAGCTTCAGTGCCTAACTGAATAGGTGAAAAGTTCCGTTTTTAAAAAAAAAGGAAAGGGTGACACCTTCCACAAGTAATACCAATGAAATTAGCTTGCAAATTTGTAATAATCCCTACGTTCAAGAGTTTTTTTCGTAGATCAACATTCACAGTATACGTAGAGGCTACAGCGACATAGTTTATCTGTTTGCTGTGGTAACGAATTCCGAAGTTCCCGGATGCACAAAGGATGGACTCGGCCAGTCAATATTTTTGCCTTCAAAATTTCGATCCAATTAGACGAGCGATCTGCTAAAAGGGGCGGGGCGGGCAAGCTCATAATATACTTATACCAAACTTATACATGTAGATCTACGTGTATTTTGTAAAATTCAGCTCAAAATTAATTATGTCATTTTGAAACCTTTATTACCATTTTCAGTACTTTATTTTGGGTTTGTCTGTGAGGAATGTTTATGCCTATCGTTTGTAGTATTTTATGGCACACATTTTGCAGATTAGGTCTATATTCCTATTTTCTGATCACAATACATACAGGCCTATATTTAATTTTACACTGTTTTAAATTAATATTTCGACATGTATAATACTTTTTTTTTTCAATCGTAAATTAAGTACGGAAACAAGAATGAAGTTCATCAAATTAGCCCAATAAAGTGACTGAAAATCATTCTCGTGAGTCGCGACCTCAGATGCTTTCAGACAGTGATTTCCAAAAATTCAAGCATTCTATACAGTATATGTTTTACTTGTGTGTTCTATATCCTCAAGAGGTGAAATCAGAGGAATTCTTAACTTTTGCCCCTTCACACGTCCATTATAATTCAAATCCAAATATATTCAAATATAGGCCTTTTTTGTTTACTAAAGGAACCGGTACATAAGACTACCTGCCTGTATATATAGTTTAGCTGCTCATAATTCTTTGTAGGCCTTTTACTTGATTGAATTTGATTTGATTTGATTTATTTACCAACAGCAATACATTTCGTTCTATGATTTTACATATACAAAAAGGGAAACTATTGGTTGGTAAAAGGGGCCAGATATGTATACATAGGCTCGACTAGAACTCACATGTTCTAGTCGAGCCTAACCCCTTAAACAGCCAAACAAAGTATTTTGGTACAATCAGTTTTGAAACTAGGCGTAACAAAACACAAAATAATGAATATCGGCCTATTACCATCGTTATCAGTACGAGTATACACCCAATGGTGGGCAGCGTACGCAGGATTTTTTTAAGGGGGGGGGGGGGAGGTTAACATTTTGAAATCAAGCCAAAAATTTCGCAACGACTCAGCCAGCCGCTGAATAAGCGGGGGGGGGGGGGGGTAGACGACAATTTTTTTTTTTTGGGGGGGGGGGGGGGGGGGAGGGGGGGTCCCAAGATTTGATGGGGGGGGGTGTTTTTCCCGCAAAAACATACACATAAACAAAATTGAAGGGAGGTTTAACCCCCCCCCCCCCCCCAGCGTACGCGACTAATGGTGGCTGTAATGTTATGAGATGAAGTTATATATATATATATATACAGCATTCACATAATCATGGGCTCATTATGAAACAGTCATCATGCATCGATCAGTATGAGCAACCATGCAGAAAGCACTCTGCAATACTCTTGGCACACGTACAGTCTACAGAGCAGAATGTGTTATGTATTTCAACCCCCATACACGTCTGCTGTATTTACTGTTCTGTTCTCACTGTAACTTCTGTCACAAGGTTAATCATTTCTCAAGTCACCAACCACCGCCCCGCTTGTGAAAAGGGTGAAAAACCAAGACTATATAATATATGCCAATGGTACTCAAACATTATACAAGGTAGAGACGGTATTGGCTGCCAAAAAAGCAAAAGAAAATAGGATATGAAAATAGGATATTAAAATAGGATACAGTGAAAATAGGATATGAAAATAGGATATGAAAATACTGAGGATATGAAAATAGCAAAAGTGACTCCACTTTATAAAAAGAAAGATAAAACTGATGCTAGCAACTATAGCGGACCTATTAGTGTTTTAAAGGTAAAGACCAGTAATGGTCATGCGATTGCATTGTGAAAGAAACGTTGTGGAATCGATCAGAAAAGGTTGATCATCTAGCATCTAGCATCTGCAAGGTTCTGGAATCATCAAAATGATAAGAAATTTGGCCCATTCTTCGTAAAGTTACAAGCACTATACACAGAAAGATGTATATGGGACTACCCTATCTCTCTCACACGACCATGAGAGAGATAAATTTACCAAATATATGAATTAGTAGGCGGTTTCCCGGCAAATTTTTTATCATCATGTATTAGTCAAAACATATTCTTTCACATGATTGGTAATGAGAGCTTCCATTTCATTTTTTGAAATTGGGGCGTTACCAATACTGGTCTTTACCTTTAAGCGTAGCATCAAAGATTCTAGAAAAATCGGTCTGTGTTCAAATTGAAAGATACTTCAAAGAAAATTATATAATTTATGAATTTCAATCTGGTTTTCGACATGATTATTCGACTGAAACATGTCTAATTCATTTGACTGATTATTTGAGGACAGAAACTTCCCAAGGGCGCTTTGTTGGTATGGTGCTCCTTGATCTGCAAACAACTTTTGATACAGTTAATCATTGCGTCTTATTGAAGAAGTTACAACTAATTGGTTTTAATAAGGCTTTAGATTGGTTCAGATCCTACTTATTTAATCGACACCAAGTAGTGGCCATTCATGATATTCGTTCCAAACTAATGCCTATAACATGCGGTGTTCCTCAGGGAAGCATTTTAGGCCCATGTGTATTTGTATAAAAGACTTTAAACTATTATTGTACGCAGATGACAGCGTACTACTCTATTCAAATCCAAATCCTGATAAATATTGAGGAAAAGCTCAGTGAACAGCTGTCTACGTGTGTCGATTGGATGACTAATAATAAGCTTTCTTTACACTTGGGAAAAACAGAAAGCATTTTGTTTTGTTCTAAAAGTAGTTCTAAAAAGTCATTTGAATTCAAAGTGACACACAATAATCAAGTAATCAAGAGAAAAGATTCTGTGAAGTATTTAGGCATTGAGTTGGCTAGCGCAATTTTTATTTTCATCTTTAGTAGAATCAGTTGTAAAAAAAGCAAATTCTCGTCTGAAATTTTTGTACAGGTATCAAAGTTGTATGGATTTAAAAGCAAGACGTACACTCTGTTTTGCTCTTATTCAATGTTTATTTGACTATGCTAACCCTGCATGGTATAGTAACATAAACAAGTCAGATCAAAAGAAGCAAGATTATACAGAACAAAATGGTGAGATTTATCAACTGTTCTTGTCCAAGAACTCATGTTGGCTACAGCGAACTTTCTAAAGCTGGTTTTCTTGAAGTCGACCAAAGATCAAAACAACTCGTATTGCATCACGTACATAAAATATATCATACTAGGTCGAATCATTACATTCGATCCAACTTTGATCTTGTTACTGACTTTCATGATTATAATACAAGAAATAGCCGATTCAACTAACTTACCAGAAAGAGTAGGGAGTATTGGAAATTCATTTTATTACAATGCCATAAAACATTGGAACTCCCTTCCCAATGGTGTAAAGGAAATAGAAAACTATGCTCATTTTAAGAGGAAATTAAAGGAATACCTAATACTTGACAGTCAGATAAGAGAAGTAAATGACATGTTATATGATTGAAATTTGTATTCTTCTGCCAGTTCATACTTTTTCATTATACTTATGTTTTCGTACGTTATAGAAATTATACAAATTCATCATTATTTTCCTCTTCTTCCTCCGCCTCTTTTTCTTCTTCTCCTTCTTCCTTTTCTTCTTGTACTTATTATCATTTCTATCATCAGTTTAATGTTGTTATTATTATCTTTAATAAGTAATTCTTTTATTTTTCTTATCTGTCTGTAAATAATTATTAGTATTTTAAGTTATTAATTTTTATACATGTTTGTAAGGGACCCCACTGGAAATAAGCTCTCGAGCTTTCGTGGGTTATCCTGTTCAAGCTGACTTATTTCTGATCTGTTATTATTGTATATTGTTGTATGTTGGAAGCTTGTCGAATAAAAATCAATCAATCAATAAAAAAGGTCGGTACTTTAATTTGTCGAGTCGTGTGAGGTTGAAGTGTCTGGAACCTGTACAGCCTTTTGCTCCTCGCCTATCTGTTTCATCGCTCAGCAAAGTGTGCAGGAGTACATTTGGGTCATGTAAACGACTGATTTCACATCTAATATCCGGAAGCTATACTTTCTTATCAGCAAATGCAAAGCAGACGACGCGAGCGACGATAAGAATCGACTTTTGAATCTTGGTGAATGGCGTGATCATAAAGACAACAACAAGAAATTCATTCATCAAGTTTCATTTCTGGAGAACAAGATGACGGACAAGCGATTCATTTTAGCGATAGACATTGGAACAACAACGATAAGAGGACATGTGTATGACGAGAAAGCAGAGTTGATAGGACAATGTTTGCAGAAGGTGATTTGGACGTTTATTTTTACAGCAACTTGCCATCACTTGTGTTGTACTCGTAGTCGTAGAGTTGCATGGGCGTGACTAGACCGAATTTTCCGTCTCTTTCGTTCGTTAGCCTCTTATTGGGGTAGGGTCGGCTCTCTCTTTAGAGACGGAAGCCGTTTATACACATGTCCTTGCTAACGCCACGGCCAGTCCTGGTCGTAGCGTTTTGCCCCCAAAATCCCCCAAAATGTCATTTTACCTCGAGCATGTTATATTGTAAATTAGGCCTAGGCTATAATAAATCAGTTCCACTTACCAACTTGACTGAAATAATCAGTTTAATAGTCCCTTTTTAGGAAATTATGGGTCAAAATCGAAATCCATTTTGAAAATCTTTTTCAACATGGATTCCGATTTTGACCCATAATTTCCTAAAAAGGGACTATTAAACTGATTATTTCAGTCAAGTTGGTAAGTGGAACTGATTTATTATAGCCTAGATCTAGGCCTAATTTACAATATAACATGCTCGAGGTAAAATGACATTTTGGGGGATTTTGGGGGCAAAACGCTACGACCAGGACTGGCCGTGGCGTTAGCAAGGACATGTGTATAAACGGCTTCCGTCTCTAAAGAGAGAGCCGACCCTACCCCAATAAGAGGCTAACGAACGAAAGAGACGGAAAATTCGGTCTAGGGCGTGACGCGCTGACGGTCAATGACATTGGCAGTGCTGTAGTGTACCACTGCACTACCAGCTTGCCAATGATTTGGTTTTGATAAATTAATTTAAGTGTAACACTAAAAGTAACAATTTAGCTAGGATAAACTTAGAAATTAGACTGAAAGCTTCAGTCTCTGATAATATCGATTGTTGTTCCGCTGAGAGGTGCAAAGCCAAAAGGCTGTCTATCCAAAATTTGACCCGTACTCCGGCGTGGAGATAGAGTAAAGGACCCGGTTTTCGGCCACTTAAAACAAAATCCTATTTTTTGGACTCTTTACTTCCTATTTATTATCATTTCTTGTTCAAATCATGAAGTAAATATTATTATTATTATTTAAACAAAAAAAGAATCCCAGAAAAAAATCACGAATTGCCATGACAATATTCGTTTCAATTTTCACTGTTTTGGAGCCGGTTATCGGCATAGCGAACCAGTTTTCGGACGCATGTACAAAGTCAATAGGAAGCGCTCGTGCGCCGTGCGTTTCCGCGCTGATGTATAGCACAAGCGGGCGGAGCAGGTATCCCACGCCGGAGCTCCCGGGTGCTCGCCTGGCCGAAGACAGGCACAGCGGTGATCGGGAGTTGGAATCTGAATTAGACAGACATATTGTGTGTGCGTGGCGGGGTCCGGCTGCATTGATTTAATACATGCGATGAGATACTTTTGAGCTTGCGACCAACTCAAAATCGGGCTCTAAATCTGAAAAATACTTGAAATAAAGCTCATTTTATGGTACCCATATTTCTTACATACACGCGTAAGAAACTCGATTTTTCAGATTTGGGTAGCGGGACCGCCGATTACATCGCTAAAATGTGATATTTTAGGATATATTTTCCATTGCAAATGTGGTTCTTCAGTGACTCTGGCATGGTATGGTATGTGTGGGATATGTGATATGCTATATGCGATGTATTTTAAAGGGATTTTACCATGCATCCAATGGATCGGCCGAAAACTGGAGCTGTCCGATTACCGGCTCCTTTACTCTACCCCTACTAAAACATACCCAAAATGGCCAAAATAAAGTAAATTTTCATCAAATTTCCAAAAAAAAGATCATGATTTAAAAGTTGTTGTTTCTAACCTGTTTCGTGTCAATTTTCTGCTTTTTTTTTGGAGTATTTTTCGGAAAAAACATTGATATTAGTTTACACTTTTTCACATGTTTCACGGCAAACCGCTGTACAAGTGCATACTGATGGTAGGTTGCGGGCGGGCGTGCGCCTGTGTAAAGTTATCTACCACCTTTTTTCTCATTACGATAGATAACTTCACGCAGGCGTGCATGAAAAATAATGGTTAAACAGAGCAAGAAATGCTAAACGATTTTGATGATCCCATCGTTTAACCCTCTTCGGCTCGGGCTTGAATTATTATTTAAGTGTGAAAACAGCTTAAGTAAACGAGCCTATTTGTGACATGCTGATGGTGTTTTCATGCTGCCCTATTGTGACCCCTTCCGCTTAATTTCCCCCTATTTAATATTTTGTTATACTAACAAGCAAAAAAAAATCCCATTAAACACTCTCAGAGCTCAAACAGTATTTCTTTCTTTCTTTCTTTTGCCCGTGACGTCTTTCTTTCTCTTTAAAAAAAAAGGAGAAAAAATTCCAAAAAATAATTAGGCTACCCAGGCCAGCCATCCATCCAAATGTAGGTAGGATTATAGGCTACAGCTTTTTTGAGATTCCCACAGACTCTGTTTTAAAAAAAAAATACATGACATGAAATAAAACAAAATTAATTCTATCACTAGTTATGCATCCAATCCACTGACATTTTTGTTGCTATGAACAAATGAATTACTTACAGAATCAAAAGAATATACATACATGTACACAAAATCTGTCATGGGATTTTTTTGAAATCATATTTTAATTTCATACATTCTGTGTAATGCAGGAAATTGCATCCTTTTTCAATTACCCTACCACAAATATTTATGGGTATGGCATTATTAATGTATTTTAAAAGAAGAAATTAAATTGCTTGATTTGGTTTCATTCCTTTTCTTACAGTTGGACTTTTGTGTACCAGAAAGGGGCCATGTAGAAATCATTCCTGATGTCCTCTGGTCGCAGTTCCTAGCTGTAGGAAGAGAAGCAATAAAAGGTAGATGGTCATCAGGACCCTGTTTCATAAAACTTGAAATCGATAACAAGTTACAAGCTACTGTTATAAGCTACTGAAATCATGGCATCTGATTGGCTGAGAGCAAATTTGTCATAGAAATTTAGCAGTTGTTATAGATAACAAGTTTTTATGAAACAGGCCCCTGATCAAGTGATTGGAGATATTTTTTTTTTACTTTTGAGAGCCAGAAGGGCATAGAACTCAATGTCATTTCAGGCAAACTCAGAATTTAGAACAAAATTTTAAACACATTTTGCAGACACAGAAGTCTTCTGAAAGCTCAGTTGGTAGAGCAATGGTCTCGTAATCGGGTGACCCGGGTTTGAAACCAAGTCGATGCGCTAGTGCCCTTTGGTAAGGCATTAATCCTCATTACCAGGTCCCTTGGGGAGGACCTAAAGGCGTCGGCCGTCTGGTTGCTTACTTGCTTTCTTAGCAGTCAGGTAAAATAACCACCAATGACATAATATTTTGGCTCTTGGCAAGCATGAGCTAAAATAGGCATGATTAGTTTTCTTTTATTGACGATCATTTAAAAAGATTAATTAATCAACCACTTTTGATTGCCCTCCTGGGTACCCAGTTACCTCACCTAGGTGGAGCATAGCAAATGCAGATTAATATAGGGGATCAGTCTTTGCTGATCCCTTGCATCCACCACTTTTCATCCTTCTTTCATAGTGCCATGTCAATGAATGTTTTTATTATTATATTGTTTAATTTATACTGATTTGTTTGAAAATTGTTTAATTTATACTGATTTGTTTGTAAATCTTCTGATGTGTTTTTTAAAGAGATGTGAAATAAAATTAAATTGAAAAAAAAATTGAATCAATGTCTTGCTAGAGGACGTTAAAGTGCAGTGGCAGGAACCCCCATATGCCTTGCCATCAACAGTCTGGTGATTTATCCTCTCTCTAACATCTTCCATCAACACTTCTCTTCCATTGTTAGATTCCAGGGTTCCAGTCGAGCAAATTGCATCTATAGGAATCTCGACACAGAGGGCGACGTTCACAACGTGGAACAAGCGCACAGCCTCCCACTATCACAACTTCATCTCATGGAACGACACCCGAGCAGCTCAGTTCACAGATTCAGTCAACAGAGCGATTACTTTCAGGGTAGGTCAATAGCATAGCGTATCGAGAGAGAGATAGTTTTGACACGCACATGTATGCAAGCAAGGTCGAAGGTTACATCATGAAGCTCCATCCAGATATTTGCCTCCCGGGTACAATCTCTATAGGAAAGATCTATACAGAGCTCCTTGAAATAACTGACCATTCAGAAGCAACTTCCGCTGTTGCAACTATCTCTGAATCAAGTAGCTTGTTTTTATCATCTTTTTTCATGTTGCCTTCGAAGCTGCACCCTCTCCCCCTCTATGCTTTTATATGCCTCCGCACACCGAAGGTGGTGATGGAGATATTATGATTTCAGGTTGTCTGTATGCCCGTCCGTCCCATTTCTTGTTATTGCGATATCTCAAGAACCCCTGGGGATACTACAAAACAAAAGAGATATGAGGTTAGAACTTGTTGATAATATGTATCACCATAGACAGATAATCTCATTAGATATGGGGGTATGCAGGTCAAAGGTCATAGACACCATATTTCTGAAATTACAGATATCACGATATCTCAAGAACCACTTGAGATAAGAACTTCTAACTTGGTGACAGTGTGTATCGTAGGAAGCAAATCTGATTAGATTTTGGAATAGGTGGATCAAAAGTCATAGATGTCAATGGCCGAAAGTACGGGTATCAGCTTGGATATTACAATATCTCAAGAGCAACTAGAGGTACATGTATGAGCTTCAAACATTATGATAGTTTGATATCACCATAGGAATACAACCTAATTATATTTTAATTTTGCCACCCCCTCCCTCCACAAAAAAAAATAATAATAACAATAAAATGAAATCAACAAATTCAAACTACAGGTACTAACTGGAGACTTCAAGAAGGTGTGATAGGAAACATGGTCTTTATGTACAGGTTCCTTCATTACCTTTATTACCCAACTCAATGAGAGACACTGTTCCAGGAAAACCATTAAATGCGGTCTTTATAGAGAGGTTGCCTATCTGTACAGTTAGTCGCTGAAGCAGGTTTCACTGTGTAAATGTATAATTCTTTTGTTTTGTTTTCAGGCTTTTTGTTTTGTTTTCAGCAGGTTTCACTGTGTAAATGTATAATTCTTTTGTTTTGTTTTCAGGCCATGAAGGCTGGTGCCCGAGTTATTAAATGGTTAACTGGAAGCAGAAGATACGAGGCTGCCAGTGTGCTGTCATTCTCTCCTCAACTGGTAAGTTCTATGATGACGATGATGATGGTGATGATGACGATGTCGGTGGTGGTAATGGTGATTATGGTGATGGTGATGGTGGTGGTGGTGATGATGATGATGATGATGATGATGATGACGATAATGATGATGATGGTGGTGATGATGATGATGATGATGGTGGTGGTGATGGTGGTGGTGGTGGTGGTGGTGGTGGTGATGAAGATGATGCTGGTGACGATGGTGGTGGTGGTGGTGGTAGTGATGATGATGATGATGACGATGATGATGATGGTGATGATGGTGATGATGGTGATGATGGTGATGATGGTGGTGGTGGTGGTGGTGATGATGAAGATGATGATGATGATGGTGGTGGTGATGAAGATGATGCTGGTGACGATGGTGGTGGTGGTGGTGGTAGTGATGATGATGATGATGGTGGTGGTGGAGGTGTTGGTGGTGGTGGTGGTGGTGGTGATGATGATGGTGATGATGATGGTGATGATGATGATGATGATGATGATGGTGGTGGTGGTGGAGGTGTTGGTGGTGATAGTAATGATGATGATGATAGTGATGATGATGATGATGATGGTGATGATGTAGTTTATAATGGTGAAGGTGACTAGTGATTATGGTACTGATAGTGATAATGACAGCGATAATGAAAATAATGACTTCTTTGCAATGCAACCTCTTTCTACAGTTGCTTTGCTTTTCTAGAATTAGTGTTTATTTCTTTGTAAATTATTTCAGACTATCGTGAGGCTGTGTTGGGTCCTTGACAATATAACTGGGGTAAGTATGAATTTGAATTAACTTTTTCCCTTCATTAGTTGACTGATAAAACATACACTTGCCTGCTGCAACTGTCACACACAGGGGAATATACCGTAAAGCATTGTGGCAGTCTTGAGTTTCAAGGCTAGCTGGCAAAGAAGGAGTCAAATGTTCGATGGGCATGCTTAAATTTTTAAAGAGGAATCAGGATTTTACGTATTTCTCATTTTAGAAGAAATTACATTAAATCTACCATTCTGGTACTGCATATTCAACCTCCTTCATATTCAAACCCCTTTACCTCCCCTTTCAAGAAATACCCTGTATTCCGTGTTAGTAATTTCATGCTATCTATTTCACAAGCTTTCACTCTTGACTGCTTTTTATCTTCCAGGTGGTTTTCATCCATAGAACCCAGTAAAAAAAGTGTTTTTTAAAAAGAAACAATGATTCAAGTAAAAGAAAGAGATAACACCAAAAACAAAATTGTGGTTAAGACAACTGATTGTTGTAGCCAGTTCTATCAAAATTTGATTGAAGACAAATCACAATATATCTTAATAATATGATTATCTCACCTCGTTAGCTGTTGTTTTCATTAATTATTCTTGTAGGTTCGAGAGGATTTGCAGAAGGGGGAGGTCCTATTTGGAACAATAGAAACTTGGCTTGTGTGGAAAATGACCAAAGGTCAGTTTATATCTTTTTAATTTTTTTTGTTTTGTTTGTTGTTGTTGTTCAATTTTGGTTCAAACAATTTGTTTAGTATCCAATATTTACTTTTCATCTGATATCCAAAAAAAAAAGAATAATACAGTATTTCTAAAGTGAAGAAAGAAAAATGATATAGGAAGATTGTATGAAACATTAAATCTGGTCTATTGCAGCTGTGGACTTGTGTTTGTTTATGCCTCTAGGTTTTAATGAGCTATTTTAACAGTGACATTTAAATGCATAACTTAGAATTTGGAACAGTGTAGTTTAGATTTTTTTAATTTTATAAACAGGAGTCTGTAGTGTATCGGTGTGAATTGTTTTTAAATTGAATAGACATATTTATGAATACTTCTTGAATGAAGGTTCTCTGAAAACTCAAAAGCTTGCCAGAGGCTTGTCAGACATAGCAACAGCTAGTGCATGCAAAGAAAATTATATCCATAGAGATGCCACTATGCACAGCATGTCTAATCACTAACCAAAAGAAATTATTCCTGATTTGTTTTCCGTTTTCTCCATCTTCAGGAAAAGTGCACGCCACAGACCCCTCCAATATAAGTTGCACAGGCCTTTATGATTTGTATATTGTAAGTATTAGTTTACAGATAACATATTTCAATGCATGAATGTGATAAGTTACTGTTAAAAAAAAAAATTGAAAGTTGGGGGTGCGTTTTATACACGGGTACAAAAAAAAGTTTTTATTTATGCCCTTCACCTGGCACTGTGCCTGGCAATGTCCCCCAGCTCAGTCATACCACTCGGAAACTAGAACAACACTACCTGAATGTCCGGATTTCTGTTTGGACTTAGAGGAAAATTTGCCTGCCATCTTTAGTTTTAAAAACTAAAAACAAAAATAATGAACATTGAAATGTTCATTATTGTGATAACTTCATTACTAAATGTTCATTATTGTGATAACTTCATCGTTACTAAATGTTCATTATTGTGATAACTTCATCGTTACTAAATGTTCATTATTGTGATAACTTCATTGTAACTATTATTTGTGACAAGTTCATTATTCTGATAACTTCATTGTTACTATTATTTGTGACAAATTCACAAGCAAAAATTGGCGCCTCCAACTGCACCTCGCAGTAAAATGAAGGTCCTTTCCCGCGTGGGTTTTTGAAGACAGACCTGGCTTGCTGGCTACGGAGTCGGGCACACACACACAAAAAAAAAGAAATTTTTTTTTTCTTTTTTTTTTCTTCTTTTTCCTTTTGTCTTTCTTGACCCCCCAAATAGGGGTGCATCTTATACACAGAGATTTACAGTAACTATTATATCCAACCAAAAGAGCAGATATTTTGTTTTTTATTCTTTGGTAAGCCTTCTTCAGATATGACGCGTAAACTGTGGTGTTTTATTTTTGTGATGACGCAAGTGTATTACATTTCACATTTTGGTACATTGTGACATAGATCTCAGTAACTATGTGTAGGACCGCTGTTGCATGCCGTCACCATTAAAAACGGGGTGTTGTGGCAGTTTACTGTGGCATTTCTAAAAAAGCCTTTAGTATCTCATTCGACTCAACAAGGGGTCTCTGGCTCTCACAAAGAGTATTCAAACTTGATTTTCAAGCGATCGGGATTGTTTATTTTGAAATAATGTTTTATTTTGGGGAGTCAGGGCTTAAATTTATCCAAGGCCATGGCCTTGGATGCCCCTTTGATTGGCCTCAATGCCCCTCTCATTGGCCTTGGAGATTTTTTGTGCCCTTTCCAATTTTTCCTATTTGTGCTGTAATATAGGAATGTGCCCTGCAGAAGAGTGGCCTTGCCCTTAAAATATTGAAATTTAAGGCCTGGGGGGTATTTAGGGGAAAGATGTTCCAGTGCAATAGTATAGTATTAATGACTGCTTTGAGAGAAATAGTTGTTTTTATACGCTCAAGGGAAGGTTAGAATTGTGCTATTACCCGAGGCGTGCCGAGGGCAATAGCCCAATTGTAACCTTCCCGAGAGCGTATAAAAACAACTATTTCTCGAATATTAAAGCAGTCATTAATACTTTTATATGCCAAAAAAAAATAGACTAAAAAATAAAAAATAAAAAATAAAAAACTTTTGTCGAAGATGGGATTCGATCTCTTGCGTACAAAAGGTGATGTATCTAAAGTCAGCGCCTTATACCGCTCAGCCATCGCGCTCTGTTAACAATCTTTGCAGTTTTCTCTAATATATAGATTAAAATAGATTTAAAACGGCTTCGAGTGGTGGATGCTTCGCGGCTGCTCGATTAAACGGGCCCTTCTTTTACTTTTGCAATGCATATTGGCACGAACTTAGATCAAGATCTATCGGCAGATGTTGTTTTTTTGTTTTTGGAAGTTTATTTTCGTCTTCATGTCAACAATGCAAGATAAAATTGTCGGTAAGATCGATCGAGATTCAATTGTATTGAAATTACCGACCAATTCTTCGCACACGTACGGTATCCTCGATCGCTCAAACCATTTTTTAACATGTAAACCTATGGGGTAACCATGGAGACTGACCTATTTTCCCAATAACCATGGTTATTGGGAAAATAGGTCTGTTTTCACAGGAACAGTTTAAGTTTATGAATGCAATTTCGACCAATCAGATTGCTGGATTACTTAAGTGAGGTATATAGTTACAAATAAATCATAGGAACATCATTTCCACCATGTTCATAATCCTCTTCCTATAAACCCCACACTTCTTGTTCCCTCTAGAGCATTCTTAATCTAAACTTTTAACTGTATTTTGTTTGTTGTTTGTTCACTTTCAGTCTAGTTGGAACAGTATTCATATGTCTTACCTTGGTCTTCCACGCTCACTGCTGCCTGAAGTTAGAGACACGAGGTACGTCTGACATACACATTAAAGACACACTGTCCTACTTGTAGCTACTTGCTCTCTCTATATAGAAAACTTCCCCAATCAGTGCCTGTTGGTCCCCATGATCCTCTTTTTCTTATGTTAAATGAGAGCTGAGTTAATGAGATAGCCACCTGTCACAGTGACCTTGCTGGCTCGCTGTGTGGTCTAATCCCTTTTGGCTGAAGTAGTAAAGCCTGCCTTTAAAGGCATCGTTTAACAATGTTAAATCTGAGATGCATGGCCCTATGTGTTATCAGTGTCTGTGATAGGGTGTTATATATTGAAGCCCTAATAAAATTGCGCTTCAACATGATCATAAAGTGCCTCAAAAAAGTTAAAATTTTTGAGTGACCGGTTTTACCATACTCATTTTCCCCAATAGGCTGTAGTGTTATATAAAAGAAAAATGAAATTTCGATTTCTAATCATAAATATCTTGATAATCAGACATCTGATCAGCTTGTTAAAGTCATGGGGTTCCTGACTGACCTAAAGGTTTATAATTATTATTGCAGCATGAGCTAAATCCAGGACTTTGTTTCAGAATCTGAGGCAAAGTTACCGAGTTACTTTAAGATTTTTTTTGTTCTCAAATAAAAATTGTAAATTGTATATTTTGTTTCACATTTTACAAGCTTTGCTTTTTAGTGGATCAATCTTTTCCATTAAACCATATGCAGAGCTGCCAACCATTCTGTTTTTGCCGGAATTACTCCGTTTTTTCCTCCAAATTACGGTACTACGTTTTTTCTTCATAAAATACGTTTTTTAATAATTTTTTAATTTTTTTTTTTTTAATTTAATTTTTTTTTTTTTTTTTTTTTTTTTTACATACCACACGTCAACAACTGCCCTTAAATGGTGATTTGATCATGAATTCAATAGAAAACTTATTTTAAAACATACTTGAAGAGAAAAATATTCTAAAAAGAAAATAAATGCCGATAATACCAAAATAACCACAAAAAAAATTACCTGCTTGTATGGAAAAAACAGCATGATGAATGAACATTTCTGCATTGGAAGTGTGTCGCGAGTGGTTGTAAGGTTCTTTTTATGAATTCCTTTTTTTGGCTTGAAATTCCTTTTTTTTGCCATCATGATTCCTTTTTTTGGTCGCACAAGGTTGGCAGCTCTGCATATACATTATGTTCCTTGTCATTAATTATACAAAGCATGCATTTTCATAGCATGTTATACTACGTTTTCATTATTTTGTATTACTAGTATTATGATGTATATTGTACTCTGCTGAAACCGAATCTCCTAGTGTACAAATGCATACTACCATGAGAGGGTTTGGTTGGAACTATGGTTTGTGAGGTGATCCAAATCATTTTCATGATGGGCACAGTCTCTAAGGAAAATCCCAAGATCCTAAGTTGAACTTATCTCTAAGTTGGACTCAACAAATAAGGAAAGCCGTTAGCATCTTTGAAAATATGTTGTAAAAGTTATTTTAAAAGGCATAAAATGTTGATTCAAATCATTCATATTTTTTATTATCAAGGAGATTTCATGTTCTTGATGTGGTATTTATGAAAAGTCTAAAATACTTCAATTTTTGCTTTTGAATATATTTTATTTTAAGGCTACAAATGGCTCTCCATAATGTTTAAGTTCAACTTGGAGTTAAGTTCGACTTAGGATCTTTGTAAAACACCCCCCAAGAGCACTATGATTTCACCAGAAACTCATATTTTTTTCTTCAAATTTATTATTTATGTATTGGTGTATCAATTGTGATCAGCAGCACAGGCTGATGGGGTCAGTTTACAACTACCGGTAAAATAATACAACCTTTGCAAAGGGATGTTAACAATTATATCATAAAAATAGAATGTACAAAAGAGATAGTATCAACAAAATGAAGAAGAAAAAAAAAAGTATACACTGCATCAGTAGAAGTGCACCCGTGATATACAGGCTGTAGAGTATACATGCACATGTATATAACTAGAGTGATTGTGATTGCACAGCACTTCCTGCATGGACTCCTATTTTTTTTTTACCCAAGGAAGGTAAACATTCAGTAATTTTGTTCTATAGTGCCTGTTTATTTATTCGTTTATTTCTCTTTGCATGTTGAGGTTCTATTTGTATCATGCCGGTTAATAGATCACTAACGAAAAAGGACAACAAATAGTATTTGATCGGGAATCATGATAAATATGATGATTCTTTGAAACAATGGTTTTATTTATAACATACAGGCCTATTCTGCGAGCTTTCATATATTTTTTTTAATTTTCTTCATTCCACCCAACCAGTGGAGACTTTGGAGTTTGTGACTCGGGGTTGTTTGGTGCAGATATTCCTATCAATGCTGTAGTAAGTTCACAGTTCACGATCTTTGTCATTCATACAATAATAAAGTGCTAGAAGAAAAAGATGAGAAAAATTTATCAAAATGATAACAAGTGATTTGTATTTTAAAAAAGCGGGACTGCACTACTTGTAGCTACTCGCACCCTCTATATAGCAAACAATGCCAAAGCGGTGCCTGTTGGTCCCCCATGGACCCCTTTTTCTAATGTTAATTGAGAGCTGATTGATGAGATAACCACCTGTCCATATAGAAAGTCTTTTATTTTACAACATGTCAATGAGCAAGGTCACTTTGTTTACATCGCTGCTCTCCACCCAGGAGGATGCAAATGTGCCGGTTGCTAAAGGGCGTGGCTGAAATACTTCTCAGTGGAGTGGAGAGTGTGCACAGTCAAGTGTAGAATCTTAATTGAATAAAGTGATTGGGGTAATGATTGCCCATTTTGGTTAGTAACTCGAAAGTGATAAGATACTATTGTAAAACCCAATTATTAGTAGTAGTATTAGAATATTCCATGCATAGGCAGCTAGTCATTAAAGAAAGAAAAGATTTTCTGCACTTTCTAACCTGATGCTTTTGTTTAATGACAACACTCTGCCCACAATTGCTTTACATTGAATACCAGACACTAATTAATTTCTTAATTTCACCCCTGCACCAGACACTATACCTAACAAAGAGCAATTGTCTGAAGAGCATTTGTCGGAGCACAAGGGTATTCTCCAAAGCGAACTAACTTTAGTCCATGGTTTAATCCTCCGACTAAGTATGGAATGCCAAGTGTCCATATAAATATAATTTTGAATAATGTGATAGCGGCCCCTAAATTACCATGATAACATAATTATTTCATAGTTATATAGAACCTAGTTGTTTATTAATTATCTTATTACATTTTATTTTAATTGAGTGACAGATTAAATTATTCAAAAACGTATTCATATGGACACTTGCATTCCTAACTTAGTCAGAGGATTAAACCATGGATTAAAGTTAGTCTGCTTTTGAGAATACCACCCAAAGATAGCTACCCCATTCTCTCTGCACAGGTTGGAGACCAGCAAGCTGCTTTGTTTGGTCAGTGCTGCTACAAGTCAGGTGACATGAAAATCACCTTGGGAACAGGAGCGTTTGCAGTCGTCAACACGGGCAAGACACCGTCAGTACCCGCCCAAGGTATGTGTATGATCCTCTGATGTATGCTCTGGGGAGTGTTTCACAAAGACAAGATCGACTTTAAGTTGGACTTAAATATGACAGGCCATTCATACCACTGGTTGCTCTCACCATTGGTCTCTCAATTATGATCTTTAGATCATATTTTTTCCTTCAATAATAACTATCCAAAAATGTAAATTCTGTTTGACCATGATTTGTATGTCCCTTGAGAGACTGATGCCAGTAAATGGTGAGAGCAAACAGTGGCATGAACAGCCTGCCATAGTTAATTCCAACTTAAAGTCAACCTTAGTCTTTGTGAAACACCCCCTGGAGACGATTGTCCATGGTCTAGTTGAAAAACTTCCTAACTTCAACCCTGGCCCAAAAATTGTACTCCCCAAACCACACCCCCCCCCCCCAAAAAAAAAAACACACACAAAACAATCGCAATGATACTTTATACATACAAAATTGCTTTGATCCTCTGAAATCATCCCTTTGATCATCAGAAATGCAAGAAAATAAAAGACAATGTAGAATGAAGTGTCTTTTTCCGCACCATGTCAATTTTTTAATATATTTTTGTGTGGATCTTGATAGGTTTTATTGGTCATAAAACAGTGGTTTACAGAATATGTGTTACATTTTTTTGCAGAAAAATAAATTAATAATCATATTGTTTTACACTTACAATCATGTTGTTTCACGTTACAGTGTAACATAAACAAATATAACATGATACTTCTGCATACCTCGGCTGCACAGACGATACAACCATCAGACTAACACTTAATAGAAATAGAGAGGTTAAGAAGTGAAGAACATTTATTTATTAGAACATTTTTTATATTTCTGATTGACAGGTGCATACCCTTTGATTGGCTGGAAGATCAAAGATGAGATCTGTTACATCACAGAATGCAACCAATCAGATTGCGGGACTATAGTGGACTGGGGCCAATCCATGGGTAAGTGCCCTGGGCCCCTGTTTCATAAAACTTGTTATCAACAACCAAGGGGGGTTTCATAAAGCTGTTCGTAAAGTTACGCATGACTTTACGAATGACTTAAATATGAAAAGCCAAATGGGTTGCTCAATCATTATTAACTGCATCAACTAAAGTTGAAATGTACAGATGTAGATTAACATTATATAACAAACCATTTTATTTGTTTGCTTGCCATATTTGTTTGCCATAATTAAATTGAGGTAATTGGAAATATAGTCACACTTTGTTAAAACATCAGGAAAACTTCGAGCATCCTATCTGGCACTTCATATACAAGTCGTTCGTAAGTCATGCGTAACTTTACGAACAGCTTTATGGAACAACCCCCAGTTACATTAACTGTTGTAAGCTACTAAATTCGTTTTTAAATGGCATTTAATTGGCTGAGAGAAAATTTGTCATAGAAATTTTAGCAATTGTAAGAATGGGGGTGTAAGTATGATGGACGTTAAAACTAAGATTATGAGTTTCAGATTGCGTTTGTTATCTTGAATCTTGCACCTGATGATATGTGTAAAACATGTGAAGCAAGTGAAGACATTGTTGCTTTTGGAAATGGAAATGTAATGATTTCTTCAAATCATATTTATGCTGGTTAATAGAAAAGCTGTTTGATACAGAAATAAAAATTACAGAAGATCTTCTTATCAAAGTAGGTGAGGAAAACTCAACAGATCTCATAATTTCCATTGCACTTTGGTCAATATATAAAATGATACTATTATGCAACAAAAAGGGGTATGATCTTAGACAATTTTAATTGAAATTGATCAGAATCTAAGAGGTAAAAACTAATCAATATATGATTTTTCTAATCGAGTACATTTGAAACAAATAAGTAAAAGTCCATATTATGGTGCACAATTTGCACATGTACAATTCATGTCTTATGTATGAAGAAAAAAAAATATATGTATGGTTTTATGAGTTTATGTTAATGATATATGTTGTAAAAGTTTGAGATTATGATGAAAGATTAAAAAAACAAGAATTTAAAGAGAATTTTTAAAAACTGTCCCCAGAGTAAATTTCAGATCATGGCTCTCAAGCAAGTCTGCAATGCACCCTGAGAAAGGTCCAATTATTGTGACTGTATATGAAGTTGATATATCAGTGCACATTTTAGGGGTTCAAGTGCAATGGCCTCAATAAATATGACTGTTCTGAGGTTTGGAGTGATTATTTTAGGCCCAAATGAACCGTTAATGAACAGTTATGGAAATTTTTCTTTGGAAGACATCACTTCTATTTTGCTATATGTATCCCTAGGGTATTACAGCAGCCCAGCAGAAACTGAAGACAAAGTGAAATCTGTTGATGACAATGGTGGCGTGTATTTTGTGCCGGCTTTCAAGGGCTTGCAAGTAAGTCGGTTTAATATTTGAATGGTTTAATTTAGTGTAGCACATATCACATTGTAATCTCTTTGCACTTTCAAATGATTTTGGATATCATTTTTTACATATTATATCTCATTGAATTATTGATACAGTATGAACCGGAAAGAACGCTGCGTTCCCGTAAAAAAAATATATCTTATGTCCCACAAACTATGAAACAATCTTACAGGGAAAGGTCATTTTCATATGCAGCCACCTACTTATGGAATAACGTGCCGGAATACCTAAGAAATATAGACACATACAAAAGGTTCAGAAGTAATTTGAAAACATATCTATATAGCACTTTGTAAGATATCACAATAATGAACCCAGTGCACCATTTCCACTCGCTCTGTATTCTGTTCTGTATTAAAAGCGCATTGACACATGCAATTATGCTTTTGAGTTTAATATGCGCTAAACAAAAATGTTTAATTATTTTTATGCCTCCGCCACCGAAGGTGGTGCCGGAGGCATCATGTTTTCGGGTTGTCCGTCCGTACGTCCGTCCCGTTTGACCGTTATCACAATATCTCAAGAACCATTTAAGATTTAAACTTAAGACTCAGGAATAGTATTTATCACCATAGGAAGACGATCTGATTAGATTTTGGAGTACGTAGGTCAAAGGTCACAGGTCACAGAGGTCAACTTATGAAATTCCTTGTATTGAGTTTGTTAGCGCGATATCTCAAGAACCATTTGAGATTTAAACTTCAAACTTAAGGATAGTATGTATCACCATAGGAAGACGATCTGATTAGATTTTGGAGCACGTATGTCAAAGGTCAAGGGTCACAGAGGTCAACTTATGAAATTCCATACATTGAGATTGTTATCATAATATCTCAAGAACCACTGGAGATTTAAACTTCAAACTTAATGATAGTGTGTATCACCATAGGAAGACAATCTGATTAGATTTTGGAGCACGTAGGTCAAAGGTCAAGGGTCACAGAGGTCAACTTATGAAATTCCATACATTGAGATCGTTATCGCGATATCTCAAGAACCACTGGAGAATTTTCACTTCAAACTTAATGATAGTATGTATCACCATATCATAATATCTCAAGAACCACTGGAGATTTAAACTTCAAACTTAATGATAGTGTGTATCACCATAGGAAGACAATCTGATTAGATTTTGGAGCACGTAGGTCAAAGGTCAAGGGTCACAGAGGTCAACTTATGAAATTCCATACATTGAGATTGTTATCATGATATCTCAAGAACCACTGGAGATTTAAACTCCAAACTTGTTTAAATTGCTCTGTGGCGGAGGCATCATTTTCGACTGCGCGCAGGCAAAATTCCATCTAGTTTTGAATAGGCTAGTTTCCCCACAATGAATGTACATACATGCCATTAGATGGATCCTGACCCCCATATCCCTTTGAAAGGGAAGTAGGGGCAAATATTGTAAAAATTTGAATCATCACAACTTTCGGGCCGAAATTGTAAGGGCCGGGGTGGTTCAGCATTTTGGAGGAAAATATAATTTTTTTTTAATACATGTAGGTTAGTTTCCCCACAATAAATGTACATACATGCCATTAGATGGATCCTGACCCCCATATCCCTTTGAAAGGGGCGTAGGGGCAAATATTGTGATAATTTTAATAAACACCAATTTCAGGCCGAAATGGTAAGGGCCGGGGTGGTTCAGGATTTTGGAGGAAAATATATATTTTTTTTAATAGGCTAGTTTCCCCACAATGAATGTACCTACATGCAATCAAATGGATTCTGACCCCCATATCCCTTTGAAAGTGGCGTAGGGGCAAATATTGTAAAAATTTGAGTTATCACAACTTTCGGGCCGAAATTGTAAGGGCCGGGGTGGTTCAGCATTTTTGAGGAAAATATTATATTTTTTTGAATAGGCTAGTTTCCCCACAATGAATGTACATACATGCCATTAGATGGATCCTGACCCCCATATCCCTTTGAAAGGGGCGTAGGGGCAAATATTGTGATAATTTTAATAAACACCAATTTCAGGCCTAAAATGTAAGGGCCGGGGTGGTTCAGCATTTTGAAGGAAAAAGTTATATTTTTTGATTAGGCTGGTTTCCCCACAATAAATGTACATACATGCCATTAGATGGATCCCGACCCCCATATCCCTTTGAAAGGGGCGTAGTAACAAATATTGTAAAAATTTGAATTATCACAACTTTCGGGCCGCAATTGTAAGGGCCGGGGTGGTTCAGCATTTTGGAGGAAAATATTAATTTTTTTGAATAGGCTAGTTTCCCCACAATGAATGTACCTACATGCAATTAAATGGATTCTGACCCCCATATCCCTTTGAAAGGGGCGTAGTGGCAAATATTGTAAAAATTTGAATTATCACAACTTTCGGGCGAAATTGTAAGGGCCGGGGTGGTTCAGCATTTTGAAGGAAAAAATTGTATTTTTTGATTAGGCTAGTTTCCCCACAATAAATGTACATACATGCCATTAGATGGATCCTGACCCCCATATCCCTTTGAAAGGGGCGTAGGGGTAAATATTGTGATAATTTGAATATACACCAATTTCAGGCCGAAATGGTAAGGGCCGGGGTGGTTCAGGATTTTGGAGGAAAATATATATATTTTTTAATAGGCTAGTTTCCCCACAATGAATGTACCTACATGCAATTAAATGAATTCTGACCCCCATATCCCTTTGAAAGTGGCGTAGGGGCAAATATTGTAAAAATTTGAATCATCACAACTTTCGGGCCGAAATTGTAAGGGCCGGGGTGGTTCAGCATTTTGGAGGAAAATATTAATTTTTTTTAATAGGCTAGTTTCCCCACAATGAATGTACCTATATGCAATTAAATGAATTCTGACCCCCATATCCCTTTGAAAGGGGCGTAGGGGCAAATATTGTGATAATTTTAATAAACACCAATTTCAGGCCTAAATGGTAAGGGCCGGGGTGGTTTCAGCATTTTGAAGGAAAAAATTATATTTTTTGATTAGGCTAGTTTCCCCACAATAAATGTACATACATGCCATTAGATGGATCCTGACCCCCATATCCCTTTGAAAGGGGCGTAGGGGCAAGTATTGTGATAATTTGAATAAACAGCAATTTCAGGCCGAAATTGTAAGGGCCGGGGTGGTGCAGCATTTTGAAGGAAAAAATTATATTTTTTGAATAGGCTAGTTTCCCCAAAATAAATGTACATACATGCCATTAGATGGATCCTGACCCCCATATCCCTTTGAAAGGGGCGTAGGGGCAGATATAGTGATAATTTTAATAAACACCAATTTCAGGCCGAAATGGTAAGGGCCGGGGTGGTTCAGGATTTTGGAGGAAAATATTTTTTTTTTTAATAGGCTAGTTTCCCCACAATGAATGTACCTACATGCAATTAAATGGATTCTGACCCCCATATCCCTTTGAAAGGGGCGTAGTAGCAAATATTGTAAAAATTTGAATTATCACAACTTTCGGGCCGAAATGGTAAGGGCCGGGGTGGTTCAGGATTTTGGAGGAAAATATTTTTTTTTTTAATAGGCTAGTTTCCCCACAATGAATGTACCTACATGCAGTTAAATGGATTCTGACCCCCATATCCCTTTGAAAGGGGCGTAGTAGCAAATATTGTTAAAATTTGAATTATCACAACTTTCGGGCCGAAATTGTAAGGGCCGGGATGGTTCAGCATTTTGGAGGAAAATATTAATTTTTTTGAATAGGCTAGTTTCCCCACAATGAATGTACCTACATGCAATTAAATGGATTCTGACCCCCATATCCCTTTCAAAGGGGCATAGTGGCAAATATTGTAAAAATTTGAATTATCACAACTTTCAGGCCGCAATTGTAAGGGCCGGGGTGGTTCAGCATTTTGGAGGAAAATATTAATTTTTTTGAATAGGCTCGTTTTCCCACAATGAATGTACCTACATGCAATTAAATGGATTCTGACCCCCATATCCCTTTGAAAGGGGCGTAGTGGCAAATATTGTAAACATTTGAATTATCACAACTTTCGGGCCGAAATTGTAAGGGCCGGGGTGGTTCAGCATTTTTGAGGAAAATATTATTTTTTTTTAATAGGCTAGTTTCCCCACAATGAAAGTACATACATGCCATTAGATGGATCCTGACCCCCATATCCCTTTGAAAGGGGAGTAGGGGCAAATATTGTAAAAATTTGAATTATCACAACTTTCGTGCCGAAATTGTAAGGGCCGGGGTGGTTCAGCATTTTGGAGGAAAATATAATTTTTTTTTAATAGGTAAGTTTCCCCACAATGAATGTACCTACATGCAATTAAATGAATTCTGACCCCCATATCCCTTTGAAAGGGGCGTAGGGGCAAATATTGTAAAAATTTGAATCATCACAACTTTCGAGCCGAAATTGTAAGGGCCGGGGTGGTTCAGCATTTTGAAGGAAAAAATTATATTTTTTGATTAGGCTAGTTTCCCCACAATAAATGTACATACATGCCATTAGATGGATCCTGACCCCCATATCCCTTTGAAAGTGGCATAGGGGCAAATATTGTAAAAATTTGAATCATCACAACATTCGGGCCGAAATTGTAAGGGCCGGGGTGGTTCAGCATTTTGAAGGAAAAAATTATATCTTTTGATTAGGCTAGTTTCCCCACAATGAATATACATACATGCCATTAGATGGATCCTGACCCCCATATCCCTTTGAAAGGGGCGTAGGGGTAAATATTTTGATAATTTGAATATACACCAATTTCAGGCCGAAATGGTAAGGGCCGGGGTGGTTCAGGATTTTGGAGGAAAATATATATATTTTTTAATAGGCTAGTTTCCCCACAATGAATGTACCTACATGCAATTAAATGAATTCTGACCCCCATATCCCTTTGAAAGTGGCGTAGGGGCAAATATTGTAAAAATTTGAATCATCACAACTTTCGGGCCGAAATTGTAAGGGCCGGGGTGGTTCAGCATTTTGGAGGAAAATATTAATTTTTTTTAATAGGCTA